AACTTGTATGTGTATGGTTCTTGTCTGCTTTCTTCTCTAACTCATCGTTAACATAAGTTTTATCTGCTTTAAAGTCTAAACATCCTGAAACCCATCCTGTATCGGCTTTAGTTTTTAAAATCTTTGATGTCCGTTCATGGTACCAGTCAACCCTTTCTATAATTTCTTTATCTTTTTCATCCACATATTCCTTATCCGCCTTCTTCACTAACACACTAGCCATAAGTCCCTTATCTACCTTATTTTCAAGGCTAACGTTTAAGTCTGTTATTTCAGATATAGAGTGTGTATGAGTCCTTTTAGAATATTCGTTTTCAGCTCTTGTCACTTCACTTGACATTTTATTGTCAACATATGTTTTGTCTGCTAGTTCAGGATGAGTATGTTCTTTTGTTGCATAAGCATTGTTAGCTCTTTCTTCTTCTTTTGCTATTGCATCGTCTACATATTCTTTGTCAGCTTTGTTGTCAACATCTGCTTTCAAAAGAAGTTCATTTATAGGTTTCTCGTTTAAAGTTCCTTTTGTTGGATTTATACAGACAGTATTGTTCTTCTTGTCTTGAAATAGAAACTCATCTGTCATTGGGTTTAATGTCAGTTTTAAGTTTCCTTCTTTCAATGACTCAGATATCTTAGAATAGTTTGAAAAGTTTGTTGTGTTCTTATTTAGAGCTTGCATAATGAGTTGTCGGTTGTGTTGTATTTCTCTCATGGAAGCAATATCTTTCGACATTTTTATTCTAGATAAAATATGCTTCCAATAGAAAAAGAAAATTCAAGAGTTGCTACAACTAAACCATTAGATGAACTTTTTACTAATGTCGGTCAAAAGTTTGAGACAGAGACCGTAAAGCATGAAGGCTATCGTTTTGACTACCCATTAAGATGGCTAAGAGACCCATCTGTCACAAAAGCTATTGGCTTTCGTAGAATGAAGTTCATTTCAGAAGCCATACATGGTTTCCCATTTACGGTCGGTTTTGAAGTTCGATACTATAACAAAGAAAAACGTATGTATGAGAAATTTGAACAGGGAAACTTTTACAAGTTAGTTTGCTTGTAAACTTAGAAACAACTCTTCAAGCTTTTCAAGAAAAAATAAACGATATCTATATCGAATATGCAAACCAGTATAACATTGACGAAGGAGAGTACCATCTCGATATTATTTATGACAGGAAAAATGCAACTGTTAAAATCAATAAAATAGAAGACCTTGGAGAAAACGTTTATATTTCTACAAAATATAACAACTTGGCATGGTATAGATTTATGAGGATGTTAAATCAGCCTGCAGCATATCCAGTACACCCAGACTTTTATGAAGTCGAAAACCCTAATGGAACATATGAAAATGTTTTCGACCAAGATGCTATTATTGTTCATGCTTCATTTTCTGGCGCCCAAAACTCTTTCTTATGCTTGGCAAATGACTTTTACGAAAAACCTACAAAGTTATACGAACCACCAAGTGGAAGTATTTCAGACTTTCAAGTATGGTTTACTACAGATGGAAGAAAAAGAATAATTCCATTATACCATGCGTTTTACTTAGAACTTAGTTTCATATACAACTACTATCGAACGATAAAAATATAATTTTTTAATACGGTTGAGGTGTTGGATTTGGTTGCCAACTAGACTGTGGTGCAGGTTCAGGCTGTTGTATAACAGGAGCTTGTTCTTCTGGTTCAGGGTCTTTAGGTATAATACCAACGAACTGACCTACTCTTTTACCAATATTTTTGACTCCGTTCCAAATTCCTCTTCCTACGGTTTTTATTCCATTCCATATACCTCTTCCAACATTTCGAAAGAAGTTTCCTATCTTACTGAAGAAACCCATTTTACTATATGTAAAAATCTAATGTCCGCCTAGTCTCTTACGTTTCCTGTTGAGTTCCATAGCATTCTTTAACTGGAGCTCATACATTCTGTTTCTCCTCTGGTAGAAAACATATTCTGGGTCAACTCCTGTGTTCGCGTCATCTGCATAAAGTTGTTTATATCCCACTTCAGGGTTTGTATAAAACTCTTTCCATCTCATATTTGCATACCATGGTGGCAAACCTAACGCAGCGTCATTTGACATGGCAGTTTGCATTTGTACATCTGTTGGCACTTGACCATAGTTTGCCATTGCAGTTTGTATTCTAACTTCATTTGGAATATTCTCTGGGTTTGGTTGTCCAGGTTGCTGTGCATTCGCTAAGTTCTGTGCGTCCATTTAATATTAGATAAAAATATCTCTTACGAGTACATATGCTGAACATTTGCAGGCATTGGTTCATCTTCATATTCTCTGTACTTTTCTGCCACGTCAAATAAATAAATGACACAATGGAAAAAACCTAAAACAAGTAGTCCTATTTCAAACCACATTTACTTACTAATAAAATTTCTTTGTTATGACACTTTCTCCAGTTTATAGGACCTCTCTCATATTCTATCTTGTCATATATAAACTCATAGTCATGTATGTCCTCTAACCATCTCATAACGGTTTCCAAACCACTTTTATCGGATGTAAAGTAAAAGCATGGACAGTTATGTAAAACGTCTAAAGTTTCTAAAGAGTCTCTCAAAGTCCAGTCTACTTGGTATTGAAAATCCCATGTGTTATAGAACGGCGGGTCCACTATAAAGAAAACATTTTCCTTGTCTTTATATTTTTCATACAAATCTGTCCAATGACATCTCACAAACTCTATACCCTCAATATATTTTTCTATGTCCTCTTTGAAAACATTTGTATAGTTAAGATATAAAACTTTTGACATAAGTGTTTCAATGTCATGAACTCTTATAGCACCACTATATAATAGTCTAGCAGATATACTATTCCAGTCTATATATTCTGCTTTTTTCAAAACCTCTCTCACAATATTTTTCTTATCTAATGGTATACGTTCCATCTTACCTATAGGTATCTTTTCTTTTAACTCTTTCAATATATTGTTTGTGTCTGGAATATGTTTGAGACGGTCCATATAGTTGTCGAAGTCATTGCATATAATCTTTGAGTCTGGGAATATTATATGGCACAAATGGGATATATAGAAACTTCCACCGAACAAATCTACAAATGTTAGACCATTCGGTAGTTTCTTAAGTTCTCTCAATATAATATCTTTACATTTACTCTTATTTCCAAAGAACGGTAACGGTGGTTTTGTAAAATTCATTTATATTAATAATAAAAATATTTTTACCCGAAAAGTGACAGAAAAGTGACAAAACATGAAAACATATATAATTTGTGAAAAGCGACACATTATATAATGTTTTCGACCCAGAAGACTAACAATTTTCCGAATAAAAACTTCATTTATACTAAACATCTTCGGGGCTAGAGGGCACGAAGTGCCTGGAAGCCCCACTACCTTTTTTTTTTTTTTTTTTTTTAATTAAAGATCTGTTGAACAAAATATATCGTTAAAAGATAATTTGATAAGATTCTTTGACACTTTCAAAACTATTTCAATTTTTGAAAGAGATTATAAATAAAAAAGTTCTAACCATAATCAAAAATGTTCAAATATAATTATTATCTGCTTAAATTATATGTAAATATAATTATCAGAAAAATTTTGACATATTGAAAGAACATATGATTTGCGACATAATAAAAATTAATTATTTTGATTATAAATTTATATCAAAATTCTGATTTGAAAATATGATTATATCGATCAGCTTAATTGATACAGTCTTCAATGATCATAAGCATCTGATATCATCTGTATTTTATATTTTTTCGATGCGATTTACATGCAATAAAATAAATTTAGCGTAACATTAGTAGAAATTATCTTCTCCTAAAAGAAATTTCACTCCCGATTATTTATCAAATTACATCTGTATCTTTTGTTATATAAAGCACCAATAAATATTGATAATATATGTCATAATCGACTGCAATTCATCCATTTTTATGCTTATTGAGATTTTGTGCGAAATTGTTACCCATAACCAATTTTTAGTCGTAAAGAATTTAGACAACAGCTATGAACAGCAAAATTCAATATATAATCAAATTTATAATTTTTTTTTAGTTGACAATACATTGTTTTTTTATCTCTATACCATTTGTTTCTAGTTATGGTAGGTACTTCTATCATTTCAAACGATGTATATTTAATGAATTTGAAAAACAAATACAATGATAAATGTGAACAATACATATCAAAATTTATCAAATACACACTAGAAACTTGTAGTTAGTAATAGTATGCTTGTTTAATGGTAAGAATAAGGATTTAATTTTAGTCTTGATCTCTTCATGAAACATTTTAAGTCTAGATTATATACTGCCACGTAAATGTATTTCGCATTTAACTTGAATTTTACTAAAAAGAGCAATATTAATTATTTAATATTCAATATATTTCACTTTAATTGACAAATCTTGTGGTGTATTTGCTTTTGCTCCACAAGGAGGGAGATGAAGATAATCTATTTCCTGATATTCGAATCGTGATGTCTGTGTCATAGTTACTCTGATCCCTTGTTCAAACTAGACTTTCTGCTGTTTTTTTCCTTTTATGTCACTTTTTTCTTTTTAGAATTTTTCTTATTATCTAGAAGAGCATTCCTTTATAAAGAAAAATCATTGTTTATACTGAAAATTTCTCCAATTTTGCATTTTTGATTTTCATTTTGATATAACAGCTGCATTTTATCAATAGAATCCGTATAACAAAATAAGTCATAGATAAGCGTAATCGAGTTCTCAAAGTTCGATGTTCATTTACAAATTCTATTCTAATATTAGCGAATTTGTATGTTTAAGAAGCTCACAGATTTCTCATACTACTTAATTTGAGCAATAATATTTGATCATTGTAACTTGTCAAAAAGATTTTTTCAAAACAGAATAGAAATTGAAATAATAAAATACAATTATAATAATTTCATAGATTTTTTATTATAACTCAATAAATTTTAAGATTTGAAGTCAAATCTCGAAAACTCAGGAAATTAAAAAGAACTAATTTATTTTAGTGGCTTGCATCACCATCATCGTCATCTTCAACATCATCATCAACTCCGTCGCTGAATTTTTCTCCTTTTTCATCGTTTGATTCCTCTTCTTTTTCAGAATCATCTTCCTTAGAGACAGCCTTTTCTTCTGGTTGTTCCTCTTTATTTTCTGGATATTTATTTCTCTTAAAGCAGAAGCCTGAGCATATAAAGATAAACTCAATGAATAATATGAAGGTTGCTGTGTAAATAATGTATGAATATCGCTTGTATGGTTCAATTGCCTGTTTGAAAAGATCAATGAACGACATGTTGGCTTTCTGGACTGGTTGTCTTGCATACTTTGGATTGATTCTGTAGAACATTGGTGAGATTTGCGAAGCATCAGGTTGTACATCCTTTTCCAACTGATATGTTTCGTCGCTGTACATAACTGTAGCAGTTTTACCGTTTGCAAAACTTATTGAGATTTTAATGCCATCAATGGTTGCTCCCATGTCTACACTTCCACCATCCTCGGAATATTCGAATTCGATGGTCTTTCCAATATAGTTTTTCGTTGAAATAAGTTTGAATTTTTCATCCGTAATTTCTACTGTGACGAAGTCCAAGATTGCATTAGATCCAAGAGAGTTAAACTCGTAAATCATGCTATTGTTATAAAATGATCCGACAATTTGCTGAGTTTTTTCATCAATGTGAAATTCGATTCCAATTTGTTTATTACTTATAAGAGACTGAGCATCTTGCTGGTGAATGAGAAACATATTCCATTCGCCAATAATGAAATTTGATAAGTCAAACTGAAGTGAAAGAGAAAAGAAAAAGTTCAACATTTTTTTTATTATTTTTATCGTATTGCAAGATTTGTATAATTCGAATTTCTAGAACTTATCTAATATATAACGTACAAAGATGAATCGTTCACTTTTGTTCGGCTATCGCAAAGTTATGGGTCAATCTCCATTCGAAATCTTAAAAATATCTCGCCAACATAAGGACATAGAACTAAACATCATTATTAAGGGAAATTGCGGTGCAAACCGAGCTATATATGAGTTTTTTTTTCTTCACATATATTGATTTTCTAATCTTCAAGCATATATTGAGATTAGGGTACTCCACAAACAAAATTTTCAAACCCATAGAGCGAGGACATACTAAATATATCTAATAAATTTCATATTTCGAAATAAGCTTCGAATTGAATTTCATGAAATGAATTAGATTTAAATAGCAAAACAGATGGTTCACAGATTGTTTAAATGAATTCATAAATTCATTATTCATGTTTGCTTTTTTATTTCTTTTAAATGTTAAAATCCATATGAGGAATAACATTGCTCTTGATGATTCCTCGAAAGAGAAAATATCAAAGCACGATGCATCATGGTATTATGTTCGGTTTGAAGAAGATAAAAAATATCAAGATGTTCTTAAAGCATTAAATTTAAATTCAAGTCAATTTAAACCAATTGAAAAAGGATTTTATAGCGTGTTTCTTTCTCAAAAACAGGCTCTAACGTTAAAGAATAAATTTCATTTATGGATCAAGAAAATACCATCGAAAGATAAATATCCATTGATTAAAAGCACCAAAAATATAACAGAATTTTACGTACTTCACACAGAAAATTGCAAATTACCAGGAAAATTAATCGAAAAAGGACTTAAATTCTCCAGAATTTCATTTGAAAACAACGAAGATGCATTTAAACTACTATCAAAAACACATTGTGTTCGCAGTTTTGAGCCAGTTGTTTCAAGAATTCAATTTCAAACTCGTTTCAACAAAGAATTACTAAATAACTTCCAGGATAAAGTTTGGAAACCACAAATGTCAGAATACGAAACTGGTCTCCCATACTTTTTTCGTAGATACACAGGAAAAGATCAATGCGTTTTAATGGCCGATTCAGGCATTGACACATCATCAATATGGCTCTCAGACCCAACCCCAGAGAATAATATATTCGGATTTAACAGACCACATAGAAAAGTCAAAAAATATATTTCATACGCAGATTACAAAGATGACACAGGCCATGGAACATTCCTTGCAGGCTTAATGGTAGGCAGAACATTTAATGATGACGAATCTAAGTATTACAACGGCATTGCTCCCGATGCAAAAATCGTTGTTGCAGATATCAGCCAAGGAGACTTAACGAAACTGCCATCCAACATTGCGGACCTCAGCCGTGATGCACAAGAAAATAATTGCACCGTTCAGATGAACGCTTGGACACAGCCAGACCAACCATTACTTACTTACATCATGGATGAGATCGCCTACGATTCTCCGAACACAATAACAGTGTTTCCTGGCCAGGCCGACGAATTCGGATATCTCGAGACACCGGCCGATGCAAAGAATGTCTTAACTGTAGGTGCAGTTTACGGAAACATGGTTTCGAAATCGGTTTTTGAGAAAAATTCAGTAGTTTACATTTATCCGACTGGTTTGTCACGATTCATTGCTGGAATTGTCGATGAAAGTGGTCCCTCGTTGTTCAATGTCACAAACACTAACTACATCAAGATGACAATCGACAGTGAACAAAAACAAGTCTGTGTAATGAATCATCCAAATCAACTAAATTTGGAAAAATGTAAAGTAATTCTTTACTTCGGGGAAGAGAAAATAAAGAGGAAATTCCAAGTTCCTGTCATCAGATTACCTTCTAGATGGCGTGGACCTTTCCAAACTGACTTGGAACTCTCCATTGTACCTGCAGATACAGAGAGTGGACGCGAAGACGAAAGATACGAATTACTTCCGAAATCTGCCAAAAAAGTGAAATATCCTGGCAGAATTAAGCCAGAAATTGTTGCTCCTGGAGGTCCAATGACTGGTCCTAAAGCAGGTGCTCGGATAGGAGATTCAACACCAAATAGTTTAACAACAAACCAAGGAACATCTGTTGCTGCATCAATGATTTCAGCTTATTTATTAGTTCTCGCTGAATATTTCAAAGATAAACAGTACAACACGCTAAATACTCCATTAGCCAAAGCTCTTTTAGTTGCAAGTGCTGATGATATCGGAAGAATTGATGTAGAAAGAGGAAATAACACTCAATTCTCATCAAATGAACCAGGTTATGGTTTTGGATTGCCAAGAATGGAAAGAATTGTTAACAATCTCGGCGCTTATCAGAAGAATGTTAAAGCGTACAATTACAAACCATATTATCAATGTTTTTCAGCTCATCAAAATGAAGATGTTGAAATCGCCATTTCTTGGCTTGATAAACCAAGAGATCCTTATTCACCAATACAAATAACTACTCCTTTAATTGCTTGGGTTTCTGATGCAGAAGAATATCATCAATCATCAAGAAACCAGATCAACAGCATCAAGCAAAACATTGACCGCGTAAATAATATCATTAAAATCAAATTCAAAGCGGAAAGAGACAGAAAATACCATCTTAAAGTTGTTCCTGATAGTTTTGAAAGCGAAGATCATGTCGAATTCTCTTACGTGATACTTGGAGATGTCAGCTTGGAAATGAGCTGCACAGACATTACAAATGGTTGTCCAAAACAATGTCAGAATGGTGGAACCTGTCAACAATTAAAGTGTCAATGTTTCGGAGAATACAGAGGTGATTTTTGCCAATATAAAATTAATTCAGCGTATGCAGGAGTTCCTATCAAAGTTGACTTACCACAAAATAACTGGGCATACTACTCTCTTGCATTACCAAAATGGGAACCAGGTTCAAGTGTTGTTTTCGACATGCAAAACTTCGATGAAGATAATTTCGATTTCTTAATAAGGTCACAAGATATACCAACACATTCAGACTATTTCTGCTCTTATGCTAAATGTGATTGGGGTATTATTGATAGAGAAAACAAGTTCTTGACAATTAAATATGAACAATGGGATTACATGAAAACTAGAGATCCTATATTCATTGGAGTTTATGCAAGATCTGCCAGACCAACAAATTGCACATTTATTCCTGTTAAGCTCACATAATTTTTTAATGTTATTTATTTTGTTCTCATTTTATACACAAAATAAACATATGTTTGTATCGTAATCTAAAGACTATCAATTTTTCAATGTGTTCTCATCCTTGTGCAAATGTTTCCTTTTGAACACATTGAAAAAGATAAATATGGATGCACAGCTCTTCACCATGCAACACATAATAATAAAGAAACAGATGAACTCCTCATTTCATATGGGGCAAATATCAATGGAAAAGTTATACAAGGATTCACAGCTCTTATATTTACTGGAATTTTTTTTCACCTAAAAATGATAAATAGTAAAGTACTTAAGGGTGCACTTACCACTTTCTGACATTCTCTCAATTTTTTTGACATCCAAGCTTTATATCATAATTTTCTCAGGTAAAAAGTCATTAACTTTGTTCGGAAAGAAGTTATTTTAAATCACTACTTAGTACCTTATATTACTGTTATACTTTTTTTGCAATCATAATAAAGATATATTGATATTGTGGGAGCATATCAAAAAGTGGTAAGTGCACCCTTAAGTAACAATTGATCTGTAGTGACAACACAATTCAAATAATTTATATACTTCATGTCTAAATAGTAATTGTACTAGAAAATATATTTCTATTTCTCAAATTTCAAAAATGAAATTTTGTGTAATAACATTTAGAGATATCAAACATTATAGGATGTTTTATATCAATTGATAACGATAATTGTGGAGTATGGCCTTTTATGCGCATTTAATCTTAAGACATCATATTTATAAAATGAGATTAAATCAGAAGGACTTCTTAATAAAGCAAATTTAACATAGGTAATAATATTCTTATACTATTTTTGGATTTTTATAGAGATTTTAATCTTTTCAAATTTTTATCCGATATTGATTAAATTGATAGTGTATTAATAATTAAATACGAATTGATAATGCAACTTTGGACAAAATTAATGATAAATACTTAAGTTTAAGAATTTTTCTTTTGATATCATTGATTTGATTAATTTCACTAAGTAAATAATGATCAAATAAATACAGATATTATATTTCATTGACTGAATTTCCGATTGGATGCGATTCAAATAATCGCAATTTCGGAATTCAAGTCAATTTTACAAATCATTGAGAATTTATGAAATTGTTTTGATAAGTGATTAATTTAAAAACAAATTTCAAAATTAATAAAAGTCAGTTAGATCATCACAAAAAATTATCGGTTTAGACAAAAAATTGAAGCGACAGACCCTTTATGCCAAAGAAACAGACGCATAATTTCCTAACATAGAATGAGTTTTGCTTAAGATCAATTTCTTTGGATTATATCGTAACGTCCTCAAAAATTGACCTTTCACAAAAATATTTTACGCTTGTTCTTAATTACAACACATAAATACAATTATTGACGAACAATCTGCAATTGTAAATCAATCAAAAATTTGTATAAATTCAAATATTTTAAAAATATTTTGATGGAAAAGGCACCCAACAAGCGCGTTTCTAAAGAGGTTAAAGAGGATGTAAATCGGATAGAACAACTCAAACTGAAATTTATAGTCATTAGGATGTGGTTTACATGCGGCGAAACACCACCACAATCAGTTAAAATAACAATATTCGGAGTACTTGCTCTAATCTTTGCAGCGTTCAAAGTAGGAACAAATTGCTACAAAAGCATTAGATATCTTGACCATAAAACACCTCAAAACTATGCCTTATTGGTAACCACGATTTTTATTGTTGTCCCTTCATTATATATACTATTTATATCATTCTGCTGCTGGAGAAGAATAGCAGGATATGATTGGTGGATGATCCCCCACCTTACTTAATTATTTTTCATGCTAAAGTTTGTTTGTATTCTGAAAATTTGATCAATTTTTGAAAAGAGATTGATGCTTATGAAAAAGTGCATCATATTTCCTGATTTTGCATCTTCGGCTTATCCGGCAAGGCAAAATCTTTACTTTTCAAAATAATAAATAAACGTATTTCATTTTCTCAGAAAAAATGTCTGACAAGAAAGAGGCAAAGGGACGTGGCGAGCTTTCCGAGGAGCAGCGCCAGGAAATCCGTGAAGCTTTCGATCTTTTTGATACCGATGGTTCTGGTTCAATTGATGCTAAAGAATTGAAAGTTGCTATGAAGGCTCTTGGTTTCGAACCTACAAAGGAAGAAATTCGCCGCATGATTTCTGATGTTGATACAGACGGTACAGGTGCTATCAGCTTCGCGCAATTCCTTCAGATGATGACTAAAAAGATGGAAGAACGCAATCCAGAAGATGAAATAAGAAAAGCCTTCCGTCTTTTCGATGATGGTAATACAGGTCGTATTTCATTTAAAAATCTTAAGCGTGTTTCAGTCGAGCTTGGTGAAAATCTTACAGATGAAGAGCTTCGTGAAATGATTGAAGAAGCAGATCGTGATAACGATGGCGAAGTTTCCTATGAAGAATTCGTTCATATCATGAAGAAGACTTCCCTCTTCTAAGATTCTTTGTTAATGCACAACCAAAATGCGTTCTCACAACTGTGAAACTCTAATTCTACCAATGTATTCAAAGCACAATATATTCTTGTTATACTCAAATTTTATTCTTGAAATAAATGTAAGAAGTTATGATCTAAATTTGAAGCAAGCTAGCGCAACACAAACATATTTTTACATCCTTTTATCAATCCATATTTCAATATCTCAATTTTTTAATTGTAATTTTGTTTATTGATACTTAGCATTCTTATAATCTCTTCAGTTCCACCATAATATTCATTTATATACTTCCACATAACTTTTCTATCAATTATCGTTTCGATTCATATTGAATATTGTAATTATTCAATTCACAGCTAATGAATCTCCAATGTTTCATAGATGTTATTCATAATTTCGATGATTAGAACAAAATCAACCATTTCGATATCCAAGAATTGAATCAGTCCGAATGTTTATAATTATTGAGATAATAATAGTTTTCATAGGATGAGATACACTCAGTTAACAGTTAAAAATTGAAAATAGATTTCAATAATCAAGGTTTGAATTTAAAAATCAGGAATAGCTCAAATTCCGAGCATTTCTAGATGAGGGATTTCATACTTTATGCATGCTAATACTCACTTCGTCATACTTTTTGCTAGACATACATTGCATACTTTTAGAAACGTATAAAAATAAGTTTATAATTTTTCGAAGAATGGAAGAGCCTGATGATAATCAAGCTTTTATCCATAATGTGTGCAAAAAAACTGCACAACTAACAAGAGTAGCTGCAGATTTCCAAGATGCACATTTTGATCAAGCCATGCTTATAAAAAACCTTCAAAAACACTATTTTCAACTATATGATTCAGTAATCGAACAAACAAGGAAGAATGCACAAGATGCATTCAATGCTCTCGTGAAATACCGTAAAGCTCAAATAGAAGATTCATGCCATGAGTATGGATTACAATACAAACAAATTAAATCCGATTTTGCAAGGATTCTTAACGAAAAATCAACACAACTGAATAATATATCACGTGAAGCTAAGCTTTGCCATAGAAATGTCAAGGAAATGACACGAGACTCAATTTTATTAGCAAAATCAGTTTTATCTACTGCAGATGAAGTCGAAAAAAGCTTAAATGCACAAGCAAGATGCCAAACACCAACATTAAATATCGACAATAAACAAGATTTAATTGAAATACGAAAGAAAATTAGCGATGAAAAAAAGCGTCATCAAAAAGTTACAAATGATATTAAAGAACTTTACAAAAGTCAAGCTTTGGAGTTCAAAAATAAAGTCAGAGCAATCTTAGTCAAAGAAATTCAAAAGCGAAAACCATATTTTTCAAATGTTACAGATAAACTCAAGCAATTACAGAACGACATTACAATACTTCATGATGACTACATGAAATCTCTCGAGGAAGCCAAAATTTTCGAAAAGGAAGCCTACAACAAGCGAGAACAAGTTATGAATCTTACTAACCTTGAAGTTAAAGAAATTGGTGATGAAATAAAGAAGATTAAAGTATCAATACAGACAGAAAACAAGACTTCTACTGAAAGACTTGCAAATGCAAGAAAAATTTTAAAGAATGGAAGAGCTTCTCAATCAGCGATCATCAGAGAGATATCAAAAATCGTTGATAGACAACGCGATGATAGTAGAGATCTCGAAAGATCCATTGCACAACGAAGAAAAGAAAGATTAGAACAATTAGCTTCCCAGGAAACAGGGTTAATGCAACAGCATAAGACAGAACTCCAAATGAAGCTATCAGAAATCTCTTTGCAACGCCAGATTATTGATGAAAGACAATTGACTACAGATCATTTGAGGGAAAAGTCAAGAAACTTAGTTGACATGTTCATGAATGACCTCAGAGAGTTCAGTTCTACGTTCGATAAGTCATTACAGAAGATGGAATTCGACATTAACTCATTATTTAATACAGAAAAGATGAAATACGGCCAAATGAACGATGACCAGTACAATGGACTTAATTCATCCTTTACATCCATCTACGAAGAGTCAAGGCACCACAGAAAAGAAGTTAGAAAGTCCAGCCACAAAATGAAGAAAGATTTGACAGAATTAAAGGCCAAAATAACAACAGACGGAGAAGAAAGAGAAAGAACAAACAACATTAAAAGAGAAGAGTACGAAAACAAGTTTAAAGAAATCATGGCAGAAAGAAGATCCCAAAAAGAGGAAAGATGCAAATCAATGTCGAATAAACATTCTCAAAAAGATGACCAAGCATTTATCACTTTTCAAAATGATCTTTCAGCGAAACGTGATGAAATACAGAAGAATAACAAGATACCAGAGATGACATATACATTGACATACGAAGAAACCGAGTTCAAACACGAGAAAGATACTTTGGAAGCAACTTTAGATATAATTTCTCGCCAAATCGAATCAATGCAAAACAACAAAGAAATTCGAATGGCAGAACTCGCAAGCGACGTTGTTAATGCAGACAAGAATAAGAGGATGCTTGAGAGACAGCTGAAAACAGCAAGAGATGAGATAAACCAGGAATACGAACTTACTTTACAAGTCGATCAAGTTCAATTGGCCGATAAAATTGACAAAATTTCTTTGCTTTACAACGCTGATGAAAATGAAAGAGGCAGAGAAGTAATTGAAGCAATCAGAAGAGTGAAACAGACAGAGAACAGAACAAAGGAAATCGTGAAAAGGAAAATGGACGAACACAACGCAAAAATGAAAGAAATTCACAACCAAATGAATCAGATCAAAGAAAGAATCAGAAAATTATCAACAGGAGAAGATGAAAATGTCCTGAAACAGAAACTAGTTGATATGCAGAAAGAACAGACACAAAAACTCCAAGATGTTGAAGTATCTTACAACAAATTGAAGCAATATTTCAGACAACTCTTCAAACAAATTGAAAATGATTTTCAGAAGCAAAAGGATGAAATAAAAGCAAGTGAAGAACAAGATTTAGCTCAATTCAAAGAAGGTGAAAATCATTATCAGCTGAAACATGAGAAACTCAGGCAAGAAACAGATGAAAAGAAACAGGAAATTGAAGAAAAATTCTCCGAAAAGAAACAAGAAATCGAAGTTGAGCATCAAAAATTGATTGAAAACATGAAACGAAGAATTGAAAGTGCCCAAAGGAATTTCGAAGAATACAATGAAGATATGAACAAGAAATACACTGAATTCCAGAAGAAATGCGATGAAGAATATGACAATTCTATGGAAAATTTGCCTCCAAGAATGCAAACACAAATCAATGAATTGATTGATCAAAACAAAGATTTACATTCTAAAATGGAAGAACTCAATCAAAAGGTTTCTGATTTAAGATATGAATACTTCACAAACGAAACAAGAGTTGTTGACAAGAACAAAATTAACACTCTAAAGAAGGAATCAGAAACAAAAATAACAGAAATTGCAGAAGCATTCAAACCATTATTTGGCTTGAAGATGAGAAGATACACTCATCCAGTATTTTATAGAACTGTAGCAACAAACACTGACACTGATCCAATTCCGAGATCAGCATGGGATGTTGGCAAACCAACACCACTTGGCGAAAGACCTTCAACTGGTGCACACAGATCTAAAGCATCAATTGTCTTCCCAAGATCAGCAAGAATGTCAGCAGACAATCTAAACATGCTGCAGTAATTTTATTTTGTATATATTATATGTTTTATTTATATATTTGTTTATTTATTTGTTTTAATACTAATAAAAAAATAAAGAAATCAAAGAAAAGATATTTTGTAAGCTCAATAAAGAGCAATATTTAATTTTTTAGTTCGAATTTCGAATTGAATTCTTTTAATTCTTCTTTGGAGCGTACCTTAACCATACTCCGTTGTCTCCGACACGCTGAACATCAATAAGGTCGAACTCAAGAGGTGGTGAATCAGTATCTTCTGGATTTCTTCTGATGAAAGATACATCTGTGCTCCTACCGTCAGTTGTTGGGGCGATAACATATGAAAGTTCATCAACCAATCCTGCTCTCAAGAGTGACCAGTTGACCATTCCACCGCCTTGAACGGCAATTGATTTGAGATGGAATGTATTCTTCAGTTTCGAAAGCATTAATTTCCAATCAACAGTGTTGTCACCGCATATGATATATGAAATTCCTTTGCTGCGCAAGTAGTTTTTGTACTGCGCTGATGCTTGATTTGTCAAGACTTCAATAATATCGGAATCTTGACCCCAATAGTGAGCAACATTTTCTTTCCAGTCGAGTTTTCCTTTTGGATCTACAGCAATGGCAACAATATCGAGGTTTCTTTTACCTTCTTCATGGAACTCAAGTCAACTGTCTCATTGTGAGTACAGATAGCATCAAATGTAGCTCTTCCACATAACCATGCATCACGCTCATGAAAACCTAATGTCCTGCCAAACTCTCCTCTTAAGTTAAGGAGGCTTTGTGTGTTGAAGATATTACCTGTAATCTTTCCATCCATTGATGGAATAACATGTATGAACACGTAAGGTCTCTCAGAGGACATCGTGAAAAAATGAAAATTCTTTTTTCACTTCAAAATTTTTGTAATCGAATTTTACAAGTTTCGATTCCAATAATTTTGAAGATCAAAAGAATGAAATTTTCGCATTGACTTTTTCATAAATTGAGGGAAAAATTGTATTTTTTTGTGTGACGAAAAACAATTCTATTCAAAGTATTCAATTTTGAATACGGTCTCAATTTAAATTTTTGGATCATTGGTTCTGCATTCTTATGTTATCATAGTTTAATAAAAAATATAAATCTCTGAGCATAGTGTGAATTCACACTTCTCAAATTTTTGACATTCAATTTTTTTAAATGAGAAGCAAAATTTTGTAAATGTTTTGAATTTTGTGAATAAAACATGGAAATCAAATATCAGTTACGAATTTAAATGATATTAGATTCGTTTCTCAAAAAAGAAACATTAACTATAAAGAAAAAGTTTTTTTTAATTATAAATAATATTTTTTTTAATATTTATCTAGAAGAAATGGATAGCATATTGTACATTTTCCTGTAAATATGCCTTTGATACAACCTCCTTTTAATAAATAGTGAATCTCATATCATCTAAAAGGATTTAATATTAAAATGCATTTGATACAACCTCCTTAAGATCTACAAATCATGAATAGATTCTTGAAAATTAAAATATTTATTTATAAAATATTAAGTCATTTTTAGGAAATAAATGCATTGCCATTCAAAAAAGAAGGGATTTCCTTACATTTATATTTGATGTTTCTATAGTATATCTATGCAAATCAATATAAACTTTTTTGAGCCCATTTATAATCATATAGTAATACTGAATGTGTTTGAAATTACTGGTATTACAAGATACTTGTAATTTAGTTCATAAATTGAAAAGTATTATATGAAAAATTGAATTTTTTTTTTTGATCAAAAACATTTAAGTCAGTTTTTTAAATATAATCAATGACAATGGACACATGTGCAGTAGTCATGATTATGATGGTGTTCGCATTCATCATGACAATGGCATTCTTCTTTTGGTAATTCGAAACCAAGTTTATCTGCAATCATCTTAACAATGTTTGTAAATTTGTTTGCAATTGCATTTTGAAGGGGAGTTTCTCCTGTTTTATCAGGAATATTTGGATTAATATCTTCCCTTGTGAGAAGTAAAGCAACAACATTTTCGTGGTTATTAATTGTAGCAGTGAACAAAGGAGTATTTCCGTTCTCTGCAACAGCATTAACATCAACATAATCAATAGCAATAAGAGATCTTACAACAGATGCAAATCCACGGCTACAAGCTGCGTAAAGAGGAGTTTCTCCATAAACAGAATATGTGTTGACATTCACACCAGCTTCAATCAAGAATGCAACAATTCCAGAGTTTCCATAAGAAGCTGCCATAAAAAGGGGAGTTCTTTTACCTTTACCAGCAATTTCCATGTCGATATTATCATAATTACTCAAAAATTCAACAGTTGAAAGTTGATCATTTCTACATGCAAGCAAAAACGCTGTTTGGCCATTGTTGTTTTGTGTATTTATATCAACTTTGTCATCATTAAGAATGATTTCAATGAAATTGTTCAATCCTTTTTCAGCACATTTATGCAGCAACAAATCACCATTAGATGTTTTCCTTGTGAAACAAGAAGTAGATATTTTAGATAGTAATTCAAACAACTCGAAGTTTTCTGTTTCAATTGACTTGAGGAAATGATCAATGTGCGGTGAAAAATCTTTACAATAATTAGACAGGAACTCAATTGTTTCTTGATTTCCACCTAAAATAGCTTCTCCAAAGACATCTCCATTAAATTCAACACCTTTATCTCTCAAGTATTTAAGATTTTGCAAATTACCATATTTTGCACATTCGATTGCTGCCAATTTCTTCTGTTCATCATCCAACACGAATTTACTATTGGTGAAGAACAATTCCATGAATTGAGTATTTGGAATTCTTGCTGCCAAAACAAAAGCTGATTGTCCTTTTTTATTTTTGACATTTATATCTGTTTTGTCATTTTTAATGAGAATTTCCATGATATCGAAATATCCTAAATGAGATGCAACCAACAATGATGTATCTCCTGAATTATCTTTCTCATTAACATCAATATCTAATTTTTCAAGTAAAAGAGACAAAATCTTTGGTTGATTATTTGAAGCTGCAAGACATAAAATATTTCTTCCTGTCCAATCTTTGACAGATTTGTCAATATCTTTATCATTTATAAGTAATTCAACAACATCGTAATGTCCACGACAAACAGCGATTGTAAAGCAATTGTAGTTATTTAATGAAATAACGTTTTTCTTACAACCTTTTTCGATCATCATTTTTGCAATTTCTAAATATCCATTTTCACAAGCATGATACAATGCATTTTGATTTTGAATGTCACAACAGTTCACATCTGTCACTTTTTCAAGTAAAAACTTCACTATTTTTTCATTTCCTGAAATAGATGCCGCAATAAGTGGTGACATGTTATTGTTATCAGAGACAGTTAATAACTGTGGATTTCTCTGATAAATTATTTCCATAATTTCGAAATTTCCAGTCAAGCAGCTTGCCAAAAAACAAGATTCACCGAAATTAGTTAAAACAGAGACATCAATATCTTCAAACGATAAAAGTGTCATTGCGATTTCATTTTTCTTTGTTGAAATAGCAACAAATAAAGGAGTTTCTCCATTTGCGTCTTTCTTATTAATTTCCGTTGTTTCAATCATTGCAAGTTCTTCAACAATGTCATGATAACCATTTCTAATTGCAACAGCTAAAGGAGTGTCTCCTTTTTGGTCACCTTCGTTTAAATCAATATTTTTAGTTTTAGAAAGAATTGAAACAATTTCTTTTAAGTTCTTTTCAGCTGCGATATAAAGAGGTGTTTTTCCTTTTAGCATCAAATGATAGTTTATATCTTCCCTTGATGAAAGAATTCGAACAATTTCTATTTCGTTGTTTTCAACTGCAGTTAAAATTGGAGTTTGACCGTTTACAATTTCATTCATTGGTGTTTGAGGTATTTTCGAGAGGAACTCAACAATATCGACATGAGATCTAAGTATAGAACCATAGATTGCGTTCATATGGTTCTCAACAAAGAAAGTTCTCGCATTATTATTATATAATTCATTAATCATACGATAATGACCTTCTATGCATGCGTACATGAAAGCTTTATCAAGAATAGGATAGACAGGATCTATAGGATTCATAAAATTCTGTATAATGAACTTAAGAGATTCGAATTTTCTTGTAATTACAGCAACATATAAGTTATTTTCAAGTTTTACGCAGTAACTAAGAATGTCTTTGTTAGCTCCGGCAATTGCGTAGTCATTGACATGATCTGAAGGTACATTAATACTTTTTAAGTAATTAAAACAGTTTAATGAACCATAAAGTGCTGCCAATTGAAGTAAATCAGGATTATGCTGTTCTACATGAAGAAGTTCGAAACACTTTTTCTGGCTTTTGTAATCTTTTTGGATTAATCCTTCTTCTAAATATTCAATTAAGCGATCAGTATTATCGTTTTTGATTATGTACTCTATAGAATCTGGCGGAAATGTGAATGTAATGTTTGAAACATCAAACAAGTCTTCTTTGAGATCCGATTTTTGGAAAATTCCTAAAACTAAACATTGCTTTAAGAAGTAATGAATGTTTATCAAGTTTCCGAAGTACTTCGCTTGATTAATCGCAGTTTTAATTTGGCTAACTAAAATTTCTTGGAAATCAATTTCGAAATCTTTGGCATAATTTTCAAAGATATAGCTTAAAACAGCTACTATACTGTCAACATTTTGAGGCTGAGCGATTGATGAATATATGAACTCTTTTGCGAGAATTTTGAATTTTATTTCGTGATCGCATTCACATTCAAGCATTAATTCATCAGCAACTATCACAGCATTTTGTTCTGTCAACGATTCGAAAAGATCTTGAATCTTTGAAACCCAGTCAAAGTTATTCAAAATAAATCTTGACATTTATAAAAAATATGAAATTTGTGGCCGTGATATTTGTAGTACATACACTTCTAAATCATTGGAATCACTAACAAGATAATTATTTTCATATTTTAAAATCTCTAAAATTATTTGGACTGAAATCTAAATTTAATCGTTGTACAAACTAGAGTGAAACAACACAAAATGTTTTCACATATTTTTATCTCAAAATACTATAGAATAATTTTAAAAACTGTTCATTAGATCATACTTTCGCGATTTTTCACCATCCGATAATGCAGATTTGGCAATTCTAGGGTCATTTTGGCAATAAAAGTAGATATTTAATTATCAATGATTTCGTGATAATTTAATTGGTGATAACACCGATAAAGGAAATTGGCCATATTTTGAATATACATTGAACCAAAATAAATAATAATATCCGAGATGTTTGAATATTGTTGGTAATAATCTAACTATGTAATAAAAATAAGTTTTTAACAATAAAAATCTAAATTAATGAAAATCATTCATCCATATATTGGTATTCAAATTTAAATGGACTTCTAACACGAATACACCAGCTTTCTGCTGATTCGTTGTCAAAGTATTCGAACTTACCAATCTCGTACTGGTCTGTTTTTTCTAATGGCTTTCCAATTCGATGGAACCACGTTTGATATTTAGTATTAAAGCGCCAGTTTCTTCTTTTTAGTTCACAACCAGCGAAGTATTGCTGAGATGTTTTGATGAAATAGAAGAAAATGAAAAATAGAGTTTGGTTATCATATTTCTTGAAAAACTCAGGCTGTAATAGCTTTAAATACGGCATTTTTGGATATCCATTGTTTTGCTGTTGTTTGCCAGTTGGAGTTGGTTTTGAATTAACAGCAACGTCGTATGGCGCATCTGGAATTAATCCTAACGTTTTTGTTAATGCATAACCAAGATCCTGTGGCGATAGATCTGCTTGAATGAATGATTCGGGTGAATTTATGTTGTATGGTTCGAATTCTTTCCATGGATTTGTTTGTTCAGGCGTGATTTGTTGAGGCTGTTGCTGAATTTGATTGATATATGGGGTTGACTGAGTTCTCCTGGCTGTGACAGTTGAAAGAGCTGGGTACTCTTCATCAAGCTGAGACTCAGCAATTGATTTTGTTTTCATCATTATTTTTTTTTGAATTTTCATGAATCCTTATTTTTGCAAGGGGATTCTCCATAGAGTACCCGAAAAAAGTTTTAGACGCTGAAATAAGTTGTATACGGGGAATTTCTTAATGCAAAATTGTTGGAAGCAACACAAAGGATCATATCGCATGCTAAATTCATTTTTAGCAAAAAACATCCAATCGCAACTGTCTGTATGAAGATGTATTCAACTTTTTTCACCGTATACAACTTTTTTCGGGTACTCTACTTAAAATTTCAAAAATATTTAATTTAAACTTTAATGATTTAGATTTCTTCAAATCAAAACATGATTTTTCAAAAAAATGATTTATTTTTCTCTTTAATTAAGGATTCACTCCAACGATACGTAAACTCCAAAAACATAATGCATAAGTTTACCATATTTTAGTCTGATAGTGTGCACGGTAATAACAATACTATTATTTAAGATATTCGATTTGTCCTCAATAGGTAATATTAAGCAGAAGCCCCTAAAAAGCAGATTTTCAAAAAAAGATAATGAAGATTAAATTTTGTAAAACATTTAAAAATTGAATACTCTGTATCATTGGATTGAAAAACCCAATATACATATTACACTCAGGTCTGAACATGCCTGAAGAAGTCCCATTCAAGTTTCTATCTCGTGTCAAAAAAAAAATAAAAGTGACTAGCCATGGAAATTTTGAATACCTTAAGTCAAAATTCCACCTTTGATCAATTATTCAATGATTCATCAAACATAATTTCTCTTATGATCATTTCCAAATCAATAAGAATATTAATTTCTAGATCTATTTTTCTTTAAGTCAATTTTTTTTAATATTTTGCAAATGCAACCATTGGAGAAAGGGCCTAAAATTAAAGCTTTCATTTTCGATGAAGGAACAGCTAATGAATTCAAACTGATGTGCAATGAAGATGGATTCCCTGATATTCAGCGCAAAAAGAAACGTAGTATCGTTGATATAAAAAATTTTCTTCAAAAAGCAGAACCAACTAAACCTCCAAATGTCTTGACTACTCCTTCAGATTTAGAAGAAGAATTGCTTATCTTTGATCCAAAAAATGCTGAATTTATTGAGGACAATATATTTTGAAAATTATCTTTGAAATCAATTTTTAATTCTAATTAAATCCTGGTATCACATTGCAATTGCATCTTAAGTTATTTTTTTTTTCATCTTGATGATATATGCATATGGTACAAGTCTTCCGTTAACAAACATGCCATTCATCATAACATAACAAAAATTATTTATTAGAAAAAGAAAATACACCAAAGAACAATATGAATGATAATAAGATAGAAAACAAATACAAATGATTGAATAGGTCTGTTTTCAAAATATCCTATGAATCTAGAAATCAATAAATCAACAACTCTCAAGGCAGAGTAAAGCTTAGTTCCTTTTCTAACTTTCAAAGCTTTATTTAACGTGAATCTTCTTTTATTTTTCTTTCTGACAACACTTACAGAAAAAGTATCTTGTTTTCTTTCTAAAGCAACTCTCATTGCCATATTTTCTTCTTTTAGACTTGCAATCATCCTTGTGTTTTGATTAAGCTTTGCTTCTAATTCATCTGCTTTGCTTTCTTTCTTGTTGAAGTCTTTTATCATTGATTCTCTAATTCTTTCAACTTCATTTTTATGAATTTCTTTTTGTTTTTGAAGTTCTGAGTTCAAGTTTGTTTCGAGTTCCTCTTTTTCTGCTTGTGCTTGACTCTTGAATAATTCTGCTTCATGCTGTAATGCTTCTATCCTCATTTTTGCTTTCAAAAGCTCTGTTTCACTCATAGTTTGTTGTTTCTTGATTTCTCCAATTTCTTTGTCTTTTTGGGATTGAATTTCATGGAATAAAGCATCTTTTTGTGCAAGTTGCTGGTTAATATGAGTAAGACGGTCTTTTAGACGTGTAACCTCTGATTCGTAGATCTCTATTTGCGCAACTGATGATGAATCATTATTTGATGAGAGTTGCTTAGCAGTAAGTTGTCTTAATTGAGCGATTTCGGTTTCTAACGATGATATTTCCGATTCCTTGCCTTGTAATTCTGTTTTTAAGTGTTCAATTTCAGCTTTTGATTGATCATGAGCGACTTGGAGAGATGTTAGATTAGTTTTAGCTTCGGAAAGATCTGTTTCGAGCGAATCACGCATTTTATCGAAGTTTGTTTGGTTCTTTCCGTAATTTTTTTCTGTTTGAGATTGCTTTTTCTTTAAAGCTGTAAGTTCTGATTGTAATTGACTAATTTGCGATTCTTGTACTTTGTTTTGCGATTGTAATAATCTATATTGCTCTTTCGATTCGTCGATTTGCGTTTCTAAATTCATATTTGTAACGGAGAGTTGCTGAATTTCTTTTTGCAATGAATTTATTTGCTCAACAGCGATCCTTTTCTCTTCCTTTATAAATTCAATATCTTCTTTAGGGTTCTCAATGTCATGTTTTCTTTTTGAAGTATCGACATCATCTGATGAACTTTCTTTTAAATCATTCTCTTCGCCAGCTGTTGTTGCAGCTTGGGAATCAATAGCTTCCAATGTATTTGTTATCTTGGAAAAGAAATCGGAAAACATTGGAGTTTTGAATTTTTTTATACATTTTTGTCACGTAAATTTCTGTCAAATTATCGATAATTTTGACATGGCGCACTCCAATCAATACATGTAAGTTCATTCATAGTATGTGTGTAAAGTAGGTATTTTTTAATCACGATCTCATGATTTTTTGAGTTCATTTTTGACATAGAAAATTATATCATAACATATTGTGAAACATGTCAAAATGAAAAAATTAAATTTAATCCATTATTTCTAATACTAATCATATTCAAATCATATATCAAGATCATACATATGATCAAAATGAAATCATTACGGTTGACGGATGTACAAAACTTACTATTATTGGTCCGAAAATTAAATCAGATAATGTTTATTATGAACTCACCCCTTATACTAATACAAAATATTATCTGGCAGGGTTCAGATTTGATAGCTATACGGTCGATGCTTACCCTTACGGAAACAATTTTTATTATATGTATGGAGATAGTATCACAACTCAAAAACCAACTGCATTCACAAAACTTAATACATTTATGCCATCAAGTTCAACAATAGGTGTTGGTCTATCTATTTTGAAAAAAACGATTACATTTGTTTATGAAAATCAAACCGAAAGTTATAAATTAAATTTTTCAACTAATATGAATATTATACCTCATGTATGGGAGGCGCAACGTAAAAATATTCAAGATAATATTTCAGTCAACTTTGGTAAATATCCATTTAAATATTATTTACCAGGGTTTATTTCATATCAGGAATATCGATACATTGCATTTTCATGCATACAAAATTTATATTTTAATTTGAATTTTGCCTTTGCTTGTCTATATGTATTCATCACTAAATAAATAGTATTCTACATCTTATTGATTTTTTATTTTTGATTTTCAAACTTAACAAACTTTATAAAATATGTATTGTAGTGTGTATAAGAATAACTTATTTTATGCCGTTCTTTTTCCTAGCTAATTCAAAGTATTTATGTCTTTCTTTTTTGTCTAATTCTTTCCAAGTACCAATAGTGCATCGTGCTTCATCATTGGCATTAACACCTGGATATTCTTCATATAGTTTTTCTGTATAAACTTTGACAAACTCAAGGAATGGTGTTGTCTTTAAACCTTTCGGAACTTCGTATTTGTCCCACGGGATATCATCGTCATCACTGTCCCATTCTGAAGTGTCTTCGTCTTCATTAAATGGATCTTCGACATGTTTTGTGCTTTCCAGATTTGCTGGTTTCATGTTGTTCTTTTTCCTAGCTAATTCAAAGTATTTATGTCTTTCTTTTTTGTCTAATTCTTTCCAAGTACCAATAGTGCATCGTGCTTCATCATTGGCATTAACACCTGGATATTCTTCATATAGTTTTTCTGTATAAACTTTGACAAACTCAAGGAATGGTGTTGTCTTTAAACCTTTCGGAACTTCGTATTTGTCCCACGGGATATCATCGTCATCACTGTCCCATTCTGAAGTGTCTTCGTCTTCATTAAATGGATCTTCGACATGTTTTGTGCTTTCCAGATTTGCTGGTTTCATGTTGTTCTTTTTCCTAGCTAATTCAAAGTATTTATGTCTTTCTTTTTTGTCTAATTCTTTCCAAGTACCAATAGTGCATCGTGCTTCATCATTGGCATTAACACCTGGATATTCTTCATATAGTTTTTCTGTATAAACTTTGACAAACTCAAGGAATGGTGTTGTCTTTAAACCTTTCGGAACTTCGTATTTGTCCCACGGGATATCATCGTCATCACTGTCCCATTCTGAAGTGTCTTCGTCTTCATTAAATGGATCTTCGACTGGTTTTGTGTTTTCCTGGTTTCCTGGCTTCATTTTGAGAGGATAAACGTACATTGACTCAAATTTAATTAGGGTCTGATCAATCTTATAAAAGGGGAACTATATCTCAGATCAAAGATCTGACGATATCGTAACACAAAATGAAATTTTATCAAACATTTTTTCCCCTTTATGATTTATCATAATATTCAGATACTAGGTATCCATATTTTCATGTGAAATTTCTGATTTCGAACTCAAATTTTATGAAGGCATCTTTTCAGACAGGTATTTTTAGACACCATGTACCTGTACCACAAAGGATAGCCGGATTCCAATGCCCTGGTGTATATGCACTTATTAACACAGGTGATTACACCAAAGCAGCGGAAATTATGAAAAAATCTAATATTCCTTTTAGTCAAGCATATCTTTTCTTGTCAAGCTATCCAGACGCGCTTTCTGAATATCTTCGTATCAACGCTTTGGACAAATCTTTACCAGATAAACAACGTGTTATTTATGCAAACTCTTATGTATCATTATACACGCCAATTTTGTACGCATTGAAGAAGACAGATTCCTACGCAACCGCCAAGGCCAACTTTATTAGTTTTCTCATTGATAATCAAATACTTCAGAAATTTGTCAGCAAAAGCGTCATCGTAGACTCACTTACACAATGTAATCTTCTTGATGTTCTCCAGGACATCTATTTGGCGCTCCAAGATTGGGAAAATTACATCAAATATTACTTGGAAGTTCAAGGTACGTCGAAGATCTCAGTTTCGACGTGGCGGAAGCTCACATCATACATTGCCAAAATACCAGAAATGAATATCCGTCAAAAAATCTTCAAACTCTTCCCAAGATCTCAACAAAAAGATCTTTTGAGGCATTGGAAGGAATTAGACCTCAAAAGAGTTCTCAGTGTTGGTGCTGATCAAGCAATACGTCCTATCTTCCCATTACTACTTGATTTCGTCTTTGAAGAGCCATCAGATATTTCATTACCCGAAATTGTTCAGCCGATCTTCGAAGACTTGTTGATTGACCGCTACCATGGTCTAAACAGCCCACAGTACACAACTCTCTACTTAGTTCATTTAGTTCGTACAGAAAATTTGTCGAAATTAAATGATTTCTTCAAAACTTCGACATTTAATACCGGAAACCAATTCTTTTCACAGTTTTGGATGGGTGTAAAGGTATATCTACTCAACTTAACCATCAAAACTGATAAAAGCCATGCAAATCGAAGAAAATATTTCAAAAAGACGATTGAACCCTCAAAAACAGCGATAAAAGTACAAATAGAGGAAGTAGAGACACAAACACAAGTCAAGAAGACCAAATCTACTGTTTTACAAGCAGTAAATTTGGCAAATATCTTTTCAATTTTCTCCAAGAAGAAAGAGAACAAGAATCAGAAGGATAATGAAGAGGAAGAAGACAATGATGATGATTTCATGGACGATGAAGAGGAAGAACAATGCGAAACAGGATATTTGAAATTACAAATTGCCCAAGATACGGAAAACAATCATATCGATATCAGATACAATCCTATTGAGGCACTAACAGCACCAATGCGTGAATCTCCAAGCAAAATCTCCATCAGACTCAAACAAGAAACAGAATCCGAAATTTCTTCTGGAGAAGATGACATTTCGGAACTGGAAAGGTTCAAAGAGAAGTCAGATGTAAGCGAAAGTGAAGCTCCGCCCCTCTATTCAAGCTCAGATCAATCAGACGTCGAATCTGATATTGATATTAAGCAGGAAGAAGAAGAAATCAAGGAAATGGAAACACCAGAAGACATTGCTCCTGACTCCAAGCGTTACCATACAAGTTCTTCTGATTCTGAGCATGAAGATCAAAATGAAGAAAATAATGAACAAGATAAACCTCAAGAAGACAACAAAGAAGATGAGGAACAGCCACAAGATGCCCAGCAACAGCCCGATTCATCAAACGCGATCAACATAATCAACGCAGATAAGAAACACAAAGTCAGAACAGAAGAAGAAGAGCGCCATCATAAAGAGAGGGCCAGATTACGTAAGATCGCAGCTAAGGTAAGTGACCAATTCGAAAAGGATACTTACAAACCATTATTAAATTACGGAATTGAGCTTAACTCCCATGCATCCAACACATATTCCTTATCAATATCCTACGCTGTTGACAAATCCCTCATAGAAGGTTCTCTTCAGCCACTTATCTCATTAATTGAAGGACCATTAGCCGAAAGATTCAAATTCGAAGAGGACAAATCGGAGTTAAAGGAATGTTGGATGAGAATAATCTCTTCCGTTTACGAATTATACACAAACCAAGTCAGATTTGATGCATTGGTCGATATTCCAGGAATTTCGTACCTTGTACGCAATCTTTCGGAGTTAATGTGGAATCCGAACGTCGACGTCTCCAAAAACTGGAAAGAAAACATCAACATGATTATTTCGGATATCGATGAAGTGAAATTTTACAATACAATGCTTAAAGCCAACCCAGAACAGCGTAAAATCTTCATTTCCATCCTTATCTCCTTGGACGAAGCCAACATTAAACAAGGAAAATTCGATAAGCAGTTTGATGACTTAATTTCCAAGAATGACAGCATCGGCAACATGGCGAATGATTTCAAGAACTGCACTGGCGAAGAAACCCTTGTTGCTCTCCACGAGTACGTCATAAAACAGATCACTTCCGGTGAAAAAACAAGAGAAATGTGGATCACTTCACTTGACGATTTACGACCAGCGCAACACAGAGCACTTTACAATTTACCAAGCGATGCTAGAGCGCAGATCATTTACTTGATCATCAAACAGTTCAACAAAGTAAATGATGAAAACAAGTTCTTGAATTTATTCAAACAAACCGTTTTGGATTTCAAGAATGAAACCAGGAAATCCTACGAAATCGCAGTGCAAATGAATGATAAACACAAATTCATTTTGGCACAGAACTTGTTGACATACAGACAACAAGGAAATGAACCTTCTAAATATTGGTTCAACGCGATAAAACAGTTTATAAATCAAGTTTACAACATTGTAAAGTCTATCGTCAAATCAACTTCAGAATTTGAGATTAACTCTGTCCAAGAGACAGTCATGAAGTTGATGAACACTCCTTCTCTCTCAAAGTTCAAAGAACAGTTTGTAAACGATGAAATTGGTTATCAAACATTGTCACTTTTGGATGAAACACAAGTCATTGAATTGGCAAAAATTTTGGATAAAAAAGTGGAATTCAATACTTATAAAAGTGACATGAAATGGGATGAGAGCATCAAGTACAGGTGGAGCAATGCCATCAAGATGTTATACGATGTAAATACACAAAGAGTCCAAAAACTTTTGGAAATTATGCCAAAATTCGATGTCGGATTTAAGAAATTAATTTTCGAAAATTTGACAACGAATATTCCAGAGTTCAAATACAAATTTGAACAGAGATTAAGAGATTTGTTGCATTCATTTGGTCGTATAACACGGCTCGATCGAAATATCATGCAAACATTTCTCGGAATTTTGAGAAATCAAAAGAGATTCAAAGTGAAAGAAAATTGGGATGATGCTGTGAAGGAATTCACCAATTTGACATCAAGACAATACACGCAGATAGCACAGATATTGCTTGGTTTCAACAACCAACTCGCTATAGATTGCGTAAGATGCTTTGAAGAAGTTTACAAAGATAAAAATGATGAATCTCCTGAAAAAAGTGACGAATTCAGAAAAATGATCATTGAAATTCTTCAAAAGAGAATCGAGCCACTTCAGAAGATCAAACTGATTGATCCTCACATCACAGCAATTTTTGGCGAACTTTATTTGAAGAATTCTTCCGAAAAAGAGTCAAAAACAGTTTTGTTGATGACAATTGATGATTTCAAGAAATTCGTCAAGATGAACATCGAAGAACCCTTCAAGCAAATCTCTAGTTACGAGAGTTTTGTCACTGAAAAAACTAAAGAACTCATTTTGTCAGATCCTGGCAGATTCAAAGAAAATTTCAAAGAATTTGTCAAAGAATTGACAACTCCTTACAATTACGTTTATGCCATTGATGAGAACTTATTGAAGATGGTTGTCCACAGGATGCAGAATTTAGATCCAGAGATCACAGATCCTGCTTTACAATTCAAAGTTCCATTTAGAGAACTTCAAAAGCGAATCAAAGATGAAATGATTCCGAAAGTGAAGAAATTCATGGACATTCCTGATGATTTAGTTCCTGAAGTTGTCAAAACCTTCAATCTCAATGATTTTCAATCACAATTTGATGCTTTATACCAAAAACAAAGATCAAAGAAGAAAGATTTGTTGAATCCAATTAAAACTCTCGATCCGAAATTCATGAGAATGTTCATTTTACTTTACTTGAATCCAGCAAATCCAGAACGCGATATCTTGAAGAGATGGAAGTCAATTGTTGACGGAACATTGAACTATCTCAAAGAAAGATTGTTGCCGTTCATTTCCAAAGTAAAGAAAATCGAAAGATACGCTGTTGACGATCTACTTTACGCCTTCAAAAATATTAAAGATATTGAGAGGACGTCGATTAAATCTATCGTCGAACAGAGTTATACAAATCGATCTAACAGGTATTACCACATTTTCGAGATGCATCAAGACGTCATTGAACATTTCAGTTCCTACATAAAACAAGGAAAAAGAACTGAATTAACATGGCAAAATTTGTGTCTCGAATATCCGAAAGTTTACGAAGGAATCATCAAAGAAATTGATGTCCTTAAAGAACTCGATGAATCAACGAAAGAAACAGTTCAATACTTCTTAATGAAAGATGGCCGACAAATGCCAGATCAATGCAGAATTTTCATCAATAAATTGGCAACGGATTTGTACGCATTAGTCGGAAGATTCGAAGTAGACGGTGTTTTATTCCAAGGCGTTTCATTGGACAACGGTGCATTGAACATCTTGAAATACTACACAATCTACGATTACGAAGATAAACCTGAAAAATTGATAAAATGGAAATATGCAGTGTCACTTTTCGAAAAAACGGTTGTAGAAGTTTACGAAAGTGTTTCTAAGCATTTGAAGTTGTTTGATGACAGAATGATAGGAATGTTCAATAACTACATGACTGCAACGAACTATACCCATAGTTTGTTCATTTCTGACATTTCAAAGATGGTTGATGAATATTCTTTGTTTTTGTCAACAGGATCCGAAACTCTTAAGATATTAGAGACATGTGTAAGTTCTGTTGCAAAAGATGAAGAAGACGTCAACAAGAAATGGAATATTATGTTCCAAATGTTCTCCCAGAAAATGAATCAAAACTACATCGAAAAAGATAATATTTTCGACCAATTACAAAAAGTGCCAGTTTCTGTCCAACACAAAGTGATTTTCTACCTCGAAGATGTCTATTATTCAATACAATCAGTATTCGAACAATACTCATTGACTGTTAAAGAACAAGTTTATGATATGGATCCGACGGTTATGCACATAGTCACTTCACATTTCAATCATTTAATTGAGGATGAAGTGAACAAACAAATCCAAGAATTCCAGGCCAGTCAACAGCAGCAGAAAACACAGAACATCATCGAAGAACAAATTGCTAATCTAAAGAAGAAGAGAAGAGAAGGTGACAAAGAAGAAAATAACGTACCAAAACCTGACAGACAAGTTACATTGAAAGAAAACAAGATTGATTACAAGAAATTATCACTTTCTGTTTGGAAGAAATTGTTTACAAAAGACGATAACGATCAAACCAACATTTACCACTTGATTTCGAGTATTTCGAAGAGTGTTTTACCTTTCTCTATTTCAAACAAACAGAAGCCAATGCCGAGACAAGATATCATCGCAATTTTCGATGCTTTTAATACGAAATTGTCACTTTTCAAAGAAAGGTTAATTGCAAGTGGTAAAGATTCAACATTTTTGAGGGATTTGCTTTGTTTAGAAGATTCTGTTTTGAACTTCTTGTTGTCAATAATGAACAAAGTTACACAAGACACGAAACAAGTTAAAATCAAAGAAATAAATGACAGAAAACTTGTTGAAAAGAGACAACTCGAATTCGAAAACAGAATGAAAGAAATCAAACAACAAGAAATGAAGCAAATGAATACAAATCTCGAAATGGAAAACGTTGTCGAGTCAACACAAATGACACAAAGAATTTCTTATGACGAAGGACCACAAAAGCCTGATCCACAAGTAATAAGACAATCAGTTGAAGAAGAAGTGTTTTTGACAGAACAAGAAACAGAAACAAAAGTAAATCTTTCCGATGACGATAAAATAAAGATTTGGGAAGATTCTGTCAAAAACTTTTCCGATTTCTTCAATACAGACACATTTAATGTCTGGATCCAAAGATTGTCAAACTTAACGACATCATCACAGATCTCTAGATTCACAATGCCATTCACTGATGTCATGACAATCAACCTTCTTTCTGTTTGCAAAGATCAAAGATTGTTGCCAAAGAAGAAACAAAACAAACCGTCAGAAAATGTCAAAAAACGGTTGCAAAAGTCATGGTCGAAAGAGATTTTCGACTTCTTAGTTTACCAATCACAACCTGTTTTCTATTTGAGTAAGTTCGGACGCTTTGATTTGACTTTGATTCAGAGATGGAGTGATATCTATTTCGATTGTTTCTCCAATTTCAAGTTTAATATGAATAACCTTAAACTGGCAACAAAACAATTCAATCAAACATTCTCTGTCATTGACAAAGAACAATTCGATTCTTTGAAGAACTCAATACATTCCCTTGGAAGTGTTTCTTTCGACCAACTAAACTCTTATTACGACAATACATTCGATCTTTGTTTGGCCACAAGAGAAAACATCATAAATCTCTCGGAAATTAAACAAAAAGAGCTCAAAGACACAGAGAATTCCAAGCAGAAGATTATACTCAAAGAGGATATCGAGTTACTCAAAAGATTACTCGATGTTTTCAACACGATTTTGGAGATTTCAAGTCAAGTTGAAATTATCAAATCTGATGAAGAAAATGAAAAGAATAAAGGTAAAAAAGTGACAAAATCTAACACTTCACCTTTATTATTTAACTCTGTTGATGGGCCACGAGCAAAACTTCTCAAGAGATTTGCTTTCTTCATTCACGCAATTAACGAACGTGGAAGATTGATTGAAGAAAAGAATTCTATTGGTGAAAGACAAAACCATATAATTGTTTCTGTGAGATTGAACGAATTCTTAGCGAAACTCGACCAATTAATGGAGAAAGAATCAACATGCACACACAATGTTGATACATCATCAATCACACGTAAGATGTGGCATTTAGTTTTGCTTCATTTCGACAACTATTGTCACAGAAAAATCCTTGAAATTGAGAGTTCTCTTCTTCAATTCAAAGATGCAGCAATCACTGCACTTTGCACGAATTTGGTCGACATGAACGCTAGATTACTAAATGATGAAGAAAAGTTCAACAAGAACATGAAACAAACTTTGGAAGAATACCAGAAATTCGTTCAAAACTTCGAATATTCCGTAGAATCAATCACAGGAACTCTTCCAAATTCGGATCCTTCCAAACCAAAGAGAATCGGTTTAACAGCTCCTGAATGTAAATTAATCTCGAAATTGTTCCTCCAAAAATGCATGGATCAACAATTTGTTTCCAGATTGTATCAGCAAGGATTCTACAGAAGATTCAACATAGATCATTACGAATCGCAAAAGAGAATTCTTAATTTGCTTGGCGAAGACAAATCATCATTGATGATGTTGTTGAACACTTACAGAGTTTGTGCATCCAGTAAGAGATTCACAGAGAACCAGGCTTTCGCTGATAAATACTATTCTTCCATCTTCAAAGCATTTGGAAAAAGAGCTGAATGGTTGATGACTTCTCATGAAGAAATCAGAGAAATTGATGGTTACAAACAATACGTAACTATCTATGAAGCTAATGATACATGGAAAGATTTGCTTTCAAGAGCAATTACATCAAAAATCATTAGATTGGATGATATAATGAAATTCATTCCTGAAAAGATGGAAATAACATTCTTAAGTCCATCAATCATTGATTCAATCAGAGGTTTCCAAGATGAGTCTAAACAAACAGAAGACAAAATCGAAAACCTCAAAGAAAGAAGTCATCAGCAAAGAGACATCAAAAGTATGTTTGGTGATGATCAACATGCAATTGATGTCGAATCTTCCGAATTGTGTGAATTTTGTCGACAATCTCTTTACACTGACAAGTTCATTGTATTTCCATGTCATCACGCACTCCATATTCATTGTTTCCTTGAAAACATGGATTTGTTCTTTGAACCTGTTGAGCAGTTGAACTTAATCGCTTTGCAGGCAAATGCTCTGAAGAGAGAAGATACAAGAGCTAAATTAATTGACGCTTTGTCAAAGAGTTGTCCATTCTGTGGCGAACTCTCTGTTGAAATTCTAAATAAGAGTTTCGTTGTAGAAGATCAAGAACAAATTGACAAATGGGCTCTTGTTCCAATGTAATATTTTATTTTTTTGTATTTTATTTATTTTAAAATTATTATTTATAATTTTTTTCGGTTTTACATATAGGGTGCAAAAAATGCGCATTTTTTTGCGAATTTGAAAAATTTTGGAGTTGAGCATTATTAAAAACTATACATACCAGGTGATGTGATAATATTATCCCTGGAATTTAGTATGCCCCGTTTCATTGGGAAATATTTGGATGTATATTAAAAACTAAATTCGTTATAAGAAAAAATTCATTCATTTTTGACTACTTTACACGGATTGATTTTTAAATAGTATTTAGAATAATAGTTTTTGCGCATTTTTTCAAGAATAATAGTCACTTCACATTCATTCATGTCTCAGACAGCTCCTGAACAAATCAAGTTACCAGATGCTCAAGGATACCCACAAGTAGACTGGAACTCTTGCCTGCCTGTTGAAGGTGAGACTAAAGATCAGAGAAAGGCAAGACTCCAACATGCAGTCGAAGAGAAGAACAAAGTTCTCAAGCAACGCGAAGAATTCATCAACAATCTCCCAGAGGAAGAACGTCTTAAGTACAGGGAGAACAAGCTGAAGAAGCTTGAAGAAAAGCTTCGTCGTAAAGAGGAGAAACTCCGCAGGAAACAAGATAAGAGAAGCAAACAGGATAAGAAAGATAAGAAAGATAAGAAAGACAAGAAAGACAAGAAAGATAGAGATTACGATGACAAGAAAGACAAGAAGTCTCATTGCAAATGCGGATCGGATCAAGAGGTTGAGATTTCTATTGATGAGTTTGTTCAGTTCAAAAAGTGGGAAAACTCTTTCAAGAAGAAACGCGTCAATGCGATGAAGTACAACGCTTTCTGCGAATGGCGTAAAGAAAATGGACAAGCTCCACAAGCACAATAAGAAATCAGCAGCAAACATACTTTAAAAGCATATTTTTTTTTATTCTTAATTTTTTTTTAAATCTCAACTGCATATTGAAGAGCAGTCATTCCATAAAGATATTTAAGATTTTTTTTACTTCAACAAAATATATGCTTTACACTTGAAAAATTCCTCAGTAAAGCATCTACAGTTATAAGAATAAAGATTTCTTGATAGTATTTGTAATTAATCTGAAATATATGAAATATTTGTACCATTTATTTCATAGGTAATTATGGTATTATCTCATTAATGAATTCTTCAAAATAAGTATAAAATCATTAACTCTGTTATGACATAAATAAATTAATCGACGATACAGACGGTTTGGTCTGATCTTGAAAAATGATGATGGAATATATTGAAGATTCAAATTCTATTCAAAACATTGATTTAGTTTTAATTTATTCTGATAAATCTTTAAAAGTTGTAGGAACACAAGAGATTGCTGACAAGTTTAATAATGATTTATCTCATTATGGTCAACAGAGTATACTTGATTCTCTCCGCGATAATTCAACTCAGATTAAACATGGATATATGTCTATCAATAATACAAATTATTATTCACAGATCGATTTTCAGACTGTTCAATATTTTGAAGGAGAAATACCATGTCACGCAACTTTTGCCAGAATAACTTCTTTAGAAATTTATGATTAATAATGCGATATTTTGATGCAAAAAATATTATTTACCAACCTGACCTTTAAAAAACTAATAATGATATTCATACTCATTTTCTTAAATATGAAAATTTGTAAAAAAAAATACGTCAATGATACATCCAGATATTTATGAATAGATATAACTTTAAATTTATAGATGAAAAGAGAATTTATTTCCATATATTTTATTACGACATACTTACCAATGTAGCGTGAAGAAGCTAGCATATAATTATTTCGCATTTTTCATCTAGAATGACTTTTACTCAAATTTCGATAAAGCGATTCTACTATCCATATATTCATCAACCGCATACTCTCACCTCTCAAATTCACTCATTTTGGGTCGAAATAGTACAATCTTATCCATTTTTTTTTGATTTTGTACGAGGTTTTCGAAGGGTGATGAAGTGACATTTTTCCTAAATGTTAGTCACCGTTACAATTTTTCATTGGGGGCTCGCAGGCTCGCCCCCAATGAAAAATTGTAACGGTGACTAACATTTCTGCATAGTTTAAGTCTAGTTCTGCAATTTAAAATAACAGTTACGTTTTAATATTTTAAAAAGTGGCAAAAATTTATTTGAAATTTGAAAAGGAAGTTTTTATTTGCATAAATGACATTCAACTCAACCTTAGCATGATTCATTTCAAAGATAAATCTTTTTCACTGGCCCATCTCCTTGGATACTCCTGCTTATTCTTCCATAGTTCACTTCAAAATTCCAAACATTCAAGATTTCAAATTATTTAATCTTGCCCAAATCCTTCAAGCGACACCTTATTTCTCACTTTTCAAGGATTTATTACGACTCATAATGTTAATTTTTGTTGATTAACATTCAAAAATTCATTATATTGATATATATTCTTGTTTGTCGCTTATGCGAATAAAAATTCCTTTTCTATTTCAAACTATTTTTTTCACTTTAAAAATTGAAAGGTGACTAACATTTTATTCACCTTTATTCACTTTACAATAATCTTTTTTTATTTTAAAATTATTATTTATTAAGATATATATCTTTTAGACCAGAGTATTCGAGATTCCTACAAGTATATTATCAAATATACAAGTGTTCATTTGACCTATTGAAAGATCCAATCCAACAAGAGTTACCTGATTCCATGCGCAGAGCTTCATCTCATTTTGAAGGAGGAATGACTGATGGTCATAAATCTGAGTTTCAATGTCAATATACGTATGAATTTAAGACTATTCAATATTTTAAAGGAGAAATACCAAAATAAATACTGATTTATTTTGATTTATATTAATTGATCATTATGCAATATTTTAATGCCATAACTTATATTTGCACACTTAATTTTAAAGATGTTAAACAAGCATGAGTAAAAGAACTAATGATGGAACTCATACCCATTCATTAATAATTGAAAGTTTTTAGAAGCTAATTAATGGTAATTAATGATAATGAACATTAATCGACTTTGATGCAGATAAATGGATATAATTATTCTGATCGAGTTTGAAGAACAAATATGTCTACTAGAGTATGAACGCGTTTCTGATCTAGAATCGAGTAGTATTTAGTCAAAACTTTAAGTTTGTTCTCATATATAATATAACAGACACACACACATAAAAATATGGGCGTGATGCGCACCAATTGATGTTTCTGAAAAATGTCAAAATGAAAAAATCAATATTATTCAGTTATTTCAAATACTAATCATATCCAAATCATATACAACGATCATACATATGATCTGAATGAGCGAATTACGATTGTTGGATATACAAATCTTACTATTCTTGGTCCAAAAATTAAAACAGGTAATGTTTATTATGAACTCACCCCATTCACCAATACAAAATATTATCTTGCAGGTTTCAATTTTAATAACTATTCTGTGTCAGCTTATCCTTGTAAAGAAAATTTTTATTATATGTATGGAAGCATTGTCTTAACTCAAAAATCGGATCCATTTACAAGATCAAAAACATTCATACCATCAAGTTCGACAATAGGTGTTGGATTATCTATTATGAAAAAAACGATTACTTTTGTTTATGAAAATATAGCTGAAAGTTATAAATTAAACTTTTCATCTGATATGAATATTATGCCTTATATATGGGAAGCGAATGTTCAAAATATTCGAGATGATATTTTAGTCAACTTTGATAAATATCCATTTAAATATTCTTTACCAGGTTTTGTTTCATATCAAGACTATCGAGATTCCATGCATTCATGCATTTATCATAATTATAATTTTCATCTTTTTTTGTCTTATCTTAGTGCAATCCTTGTTTCATAAAAATTTCGAAATGTCTATAAATTACTCTATACTTTCATGTGAGTTTTTATGCAGCCATAAAGATCACATTTTTCAGAGTTTTACATGGCATTTTCCAGCAAATGCCATGTAAAGTTATTTCAAATATTAAGAATATGATTCTTCTAATCTTATAAAAGTTTAAACCTGCATAGTATTAACTACAAAAGAATACATTGAAACGCTTAAAAAAGAAAATCATTGTTTGTAATTCTTCCTTCTAGCAGCAAGGAAGTATTTGTGTCTTTGCTTTTTGTCCAATTTCTTCCAAGTGCCAATTGTGACACGTGCTTCATCGTTAGCATTAACACCTGGAAATTCACGATATAGTTGTTTTCTGTAAAAATTGCAATATTCAAGGAATGGGGTTGTCTTTAATCCTTGTGGTACATTATATTTGTCCCATGGAATATCATCCTCATTGCTATCCCATTCTGATGTTTCTTCATCTTCATTAAAGGGATCTGCAACTGGACCTGTATTTTCTTCTTTAGACTTTTTCGGTTTACTTTGAACTTCCTTATTTGCTTTTGCTTTATCTTTATATTTTTGTTTATCTTATTTCGATAATTTTCTCCATCTCTTCTCTATTTCTTTAGCTATACCCATAAGGTCTATATCTGGCTTTTCAGCTTTAATTTATGACTTAATTTCTTCCAAAAAAACCATTTTTGGCTTGACTGGAAGCATTGTTTTCGAAGTGATTTTTGGCGCCAAAAATTGAATTTATATACTCAAATTTATTTTTTATAATTCTACTTATGTTTCTGTTAATTATGTACGTAAATTTATCGAATATAGACATATTGAATACTTTACAAAATATTGAATGCAAAATTTCTGTCAAAACAGCTCTCGATTAGATTTTGAATCAAAAAAAGTTTGAAAATTGGTAAACAATATGATGTCCAATTCTATTAGTATGAAAATTTTATTCAAACCCAAAATCATTTGTTCAGGTTTCCTTCTAAATCAAGTGTTAACATTTCCATTTAAATATATTCATGAAGGTTAGCCTAATTCATTGGTTTTCGGCATTCAAGAAAAGTTCCGATTTCTCGTTATTACAAATTAAAACTTCTTATTTTATCCATGTCTGATTAATATAAGAGAAAATGATTATCATGTAAGAGATTTTAATTTTTATACACAGAAAGAAAATTTTTGCCCAATGCACGGGCAACAATCAGCCTTTAGTACAAAAGCAACTACAAACAGTGCTGCAGGCGGATCAACACGTGGGTTCCTCAGCTTTTCTAGTCAATCTGTGCTAGAAGGAGCGAATGGACCCAGATTTAAAGAGCGTATTTCCCAAAATTTAAAGCATTTAGCAACCAATATGACACGATATAAGGGATGTGGACCAATAATATACAATTTATCAATGTTTATTCGCATTCTACAAATGTTAGGATTATATTTAATGCATAGTGCAAACGAATATTGGGAAGTTCAGAACGCCTCTCGAATTGTAGTTACTATTTTAACACTTCCTTTACACTTTTCAGTCTATCCGCATAACGAAAAATACAGAATTATTTTAATGTTCTTGTTTTCAATATATTATATTATAAATACAGTTATACACATCTTTATTTTACTTAGAGATCCCACCGAAAAATCAATTTCCAACAGAATGCTCTTTTATTTAAGCTTTACAACAATCTTAATCTCTCCAAATTTAGCGATGTTCACTGCATGTGGATACGGATATCTTCTTAAATGCATTATCTTTTTCAAATATAACGACACGTTACTAATTACAGGCGTTGTTTTTAGCACAATTACATTAATATTAGCGTTAGTAACACATTATTTCGGATATTTGATATTAAGAAATGCAGCAATATTAAATTTCAAGATAATGTTCCGTCCATGGTCTTCAGATCTCGGTCATTTATTACGATTTGAATATTATTACTTCATTATGGCATTTGCATCAGATTTTCTCGATTTAAATAAGCAATTAATGATATTGATATATTCGATTTTAGCACTTGCAGCAGCAAATCCATATTTTATTTATTTTACCTCAACAAATGCATTATTCAACAACTATCAAGACGTCAAATACATTTCTACAGTATTGGCAACAGGTTTCGTTCTGATTATTCTCATGAATCTCAAGTATTTCTTCACACAAATATCATCCACAATTTTATTTGTAACTTTTCTCATAATTTATTCGATATTTACATTTGTATTCAAAGCCATTACAACGTGGTTCATGAACAAGCAGCTAATGAAACTTTATTCAGTCTACAGACAAAGTCAACCTGTTTTACCGCCAACCTCCCCCTTAATATTTTCCGGTAACAAAGATACACATATACCATTATCCCAAGACGCCTACAATGTTATGCAAGGCTTTAGTTCCCTCGAGATCAGTACAGCGCGTGAGTTCCAAACGATTGTTGCCATTGGAGCCGCATCCCGAATGCCAGCTGTTACAAACTTCGATTTCATCAGATGGGGCTTGAATTTCTTTGTTGACAACAAGAGTCTTTTCATGTGTGCGCAAGTTTGCAACTATTTCCATGAAAACGCGCAAACACAAACTGTTCTTTTACAATATTTGACCGAACAAAGTGATTTAAGTTTGCCGCAATCGATTGCTGTCCATATTCTAGACAGAGATCATACAGATGCAATCTCTGACCAACCAATCTTTTTGAAATTATTAAAAGTGAAAGCAACAGCAGCACACGCAAGATGCAGAAGATGTATTTCAACATTTTGGAGTGCAGTTTTGAAACACAACATTGTATCAATGAGAGATGGAATTTGTAAATTAAGGGATGCAATAAACGAAGCAACAACTCATTTCGATGAATTGTTACGATGTTATCCATATTCAATAGATGCTGTTTCTCTTTATATCAGTTTCCTTTTGGAAGTCAAATCTTCTTTTGTCGAATGTTATAACTTTATAAATAACACATCGAGTTCTTTCATTGAACAACAAGACGAACTGAAAGCGAACAACAAACAACAAGTTGTTTCTATTTCAGCATTAATGAAAGACACAACTAAATCATATAATGAATACTTGACTGATTTAAGTTCATATTCTGAACAAGAAAGAAGAGTTAAACACAACACAAATGGTCCTTCTCGAGGTGTTTATGCATTGATGTTAAGTGCTTTCTTAATAATTGTTGGTTGTTTCTCAGCAATTATCATTGTAACACTTATCAAACTCAAAGAATATCCAGGTCTTTTGGAGATAATTTCAACAGGTAGTGATGTATTGATTGAAATTGCTTCATTGACAATGGCAAGTAGAAGATTATGTCTGTTTTCAAGTGGAATAATTAATGATACAACAATCGAAGGTGTTTCAAATGATTTCGATACAATGGAAAATATAACGAAATACATTGCAACACATGCAGAAAAACTGCCTGCTTTGTGTGCAACATTCTTCACGACAAGTGCAAGAAGAAAGAAAATGATTGACGCATTAAATTATCAAATGCCAATCAATATATTCGATACAACTTACAACGCGTCATTGGCAAGAACTCTTGAACTAATGATACAATGTATATCGAATATAGCTTCTAACATTCCTTCATTTTATATCAATGGAACTGTTAACAAAACTTGTTACAAACCAACTTGTCAATCCGATGAATTGAAAACTTTGTTGAACAATTTCAGACCTTTGAATGATTTGTCAGTGAATTTCATTTTTGTGTTTGAAAACATAACAACAGATGAAATTACTTCATTAGACAAAGCATTTAAATGGTCAATGATTGTTCTTCCAACAGCTTTTGTTGTTGTTTTCGGTATCTTTTTGCTGTTAGTTTCTATTTGTATTCATAGAGAAAGTAAATTCAGAATGAGTTTGTATCTTTCTCTTCCTGAAAATATTGCAAGTAACATCATCTACAAACAGAATAACGCAGAAAGAAATGTAATATACAGAGCTGGATCCCAATTCGCTTCTTCAAGTGGTCCAAGTCCTCCGAAAGCAACAAATGTAATTGGAGCTCCAACAGTTAATTCTTCTTCACAAGGACAAAGTGGAAAAGAAGAAAAAACTAAAGCAGCTGCCATTGAATCACTTTATCAGTTTACTTCGATGTCCAATGTTAATTCTACAACAGGATTGATTGGATTCATTGCATGGATGATTGTTTTCATGATTCTTGGAGCAATTGCGATGTTATCTTTAACATATTATGGAAAAACTGTGAATAGTTCATTCGTTGGAAGAACATCGATGTTATGCTATTCCGCATCAAGATTCTCTACATTGCAATATGCTTCTTTGGCTGCAATAGAAAGCTTCAACAAAAATAATGATGATTTAGTTCTCTTGAATTCTTCAACAATTGTAAATTTGACAACTTATTTCACTGATTTGTCAGAATATTTACATGACATTTTGACATATGGTGACAAAGATATTCCATTTACATATAGAGAATATCCAGACATTGCCACTTTGTTCGATGGAAATAAGTCAGATGAACAAGAATTCGAAGATTACGTCGGAAAAAGTTATTCAAGTATTTCTCACAGAGGATACAGTGATTTAGGTTTAGAAGCGAGATTGCAATTGCTTTATATGGTGACAATTGGCATTGTTGAGAACTTCAAGAACAATGCAACTGATTTGAACACAACAAGTAACAGTTGGTTGGCTTATAATCATTTGTTATTAACACATATAACAGAAGATTTAAAGAGCACAACAGGAATATATATTACAGGTGCAACAAATGTAATTGAAAAGGCTTTCTTGGCTGCGTTAATGATATCTGTTGTTTCTATTATTGTTTTGTTGTTGATTTTCGTGATTCCTATTCTCAAATACACATTGGATTTGAGTGGATATTTCGCTTTGACAACGCAAATTTTGTCTGGAATTAATCCGGAAACATTTAGAAGTACTATTTATATAAACAAGTGGTTGCAAAGATCAATCAACCGCAGAAACTACAGACAGTTCGAGGACTCTTTCAAGAGATCTGTGACTCCGAAATTGCAGTCCGAAATCGCATTCGAAATTCCAGAAAAAATCTTTTTGTTCGACGCGTACGGAAAATTCTTCAATATCAATTCCTTCGATATCTCAACGATAGATGATGGAAATGTCGACATCAAGAGCATATTGGGATTGTTCTTCGACTTGTCAAAGAACCAGCAACTCTTGGATAACGTAAACAGAGCATTTTACACATTCCAAGAAGCGAAAGATAAAGCGGAGAATTTCACTTTCAAGGCTCTTTCGAAAGACGGAGTTCCAATGCAAGTTTACTTGAAAGGCATCACTTCAGCAGACTGCTTGACGTACGATCTGAAAGAGATGCAAGGATTCTACGCTTACGTGGCTGTTCTCATCAAAGAAATCATCAGAGAAAGCCAAGACGAAGAGCATTACAATATCGAAAAGAAAACAACATTGCAGATGCTTGAAATGGTCATTCCTCCACACGCTGCACGAAGATTACATGCAGGAGAAGAGTCTATCTGCTTCTTTTCAGGTATTGGTTGTGTTGCTGTTGCTGAAATTGTTGGTTTCTTCGATATGGACTCTGTTTTGACACCCGATGCAATCATGGAAGTAGTTTCAGATGTAAAAATCGGTGTTGCTTCATATCTTCGAAAGTTCCCGCGTGTTTCAACTCTCGGATTGAGAAATGGATATGGTATATTCGTCGCAGGCCAATTCACAGAAGACAGTGATGGAATGAACGAAGCTTGCGACATGCTTAATTTCATTTTCCTTGCAGCCAAGTTTCTCGAAGAAGGAGCTCAAAAGAAAGGTGTTTCTTTAGCGTTCAAAGTCGGAATTGCTACTGGAGGACCATTATATTGCAAGATCGTAATGGAAAGTGCTCCTATAGCAGTTACTGATGGTGATATCTATATTATCGCGGAAAAGTTGTCTTCTTTAGCAAAACCAGAACAAATTGTCATGGATAAAGCAACTGTCGAATGCGCATCTTCTGTCAAGATGAACCCGGTTTCAGTGGGAGATGTAGAGATAAGAGATAGGAAAGTTCAAATGTGGTCTATCCCAATTTACCCTGTTGAAGAAAATCCTCAAAATCAAGATTAACTAACATATTAACTATTTTGTTCTTTTTATTATTATTTTAAAAAAAGTTGTTTTATTCTTAAGGATACCCTTACATTGCGTAGTTAGAAAGAGAATATGATATTGTCATGATTGCTAAAGTTTTAGGCTCCAGAAATGAATATACATCAAACTGAAACAATTGATAAATTGAATGAACTTTTGAGAGGTTCTCAAATAAAAAAATTATCTAATTTTTTACAATATTACTATTATTTTATCCACATATGTATATATAGTAATTTGAGAAAACTTTTAGGAAAAAATAAGTTTAATAAAAATCTGAATTTTACTTGTTGTGGGATTGTTATTAATTGACACTCCAGACGTATTACTAATAGTTATGCGTATGCAATTAAAGTATTTCTGATGGACAAAATGTGAGGAACTTGGCACTGAATGAAATTCACAAGCTCTGGTATCAGAAAATGCCAGAGCTTCGCAAGCAATCCTCGGGGCTGGTTTCCTCAAAGACCGCCCTGATTCGGGGCGGCCGGAGAGGAATCCAGTCCCGAGAGAGCGTTTATAGGAAGCTCTGACCTTTTTCTGAGACCAGAGCCTGCAAATACAATCCTCAGGGCCGAGTTTGAGGGAGATCGTCCGCATTTTTGACGATCCCCTCTCCTCTCGGCCCTGAAAGACCAATAGACAAAGGTTCTGGCCTCAACAGGAACCAGGGCCTCGCATACAATTCTCGGGGCCGGCTTTCTCAAATGCCGTCCTGATCTAGGGCGGCAGGAGAGAAGTCCGGCCCTGGGAAGCAGTAAATTCGAAGCTCTGGTCTCTGCAGAGGCCATGGCCTGCAAATACCATCCTCAGGGCCGAGTTTTGCGATGATAGTCCACATGATAGACCGTCTCGCAAGAACTCGGCCCTGGAAGACATAAAATCACAGGCTCTGACCTCAGCAGGGATCAGAGTCTCGCTTACAATCATCAGGGCCGGCTTTCTCAAATGCCGTCCTGATCTAGGGCGGCAGGAGAGAAGTCCGGCCCTGGGAAGCAGTAAATTCGAAGCTCTGGTCTCTGCAGAGGCCATGGCCTGCAAGTACAATCCTCATGGTGTAGTTTCGACCTGATTGTCCCTCATGAGGACGACCAAGTTAAAACTCTGCTATGAAAGAAAGGAACATGCATGCTCTGGATCCTTATGAGGCCAAGGTTTCCAATACATTCCTAGAGGCCGAGTTTTCTGAGAATTTCCACATCACGGACAAGTCTCAGCGGAATCCGGCCCTTGGGATCATTAAATACGAAGCTCTAGCCTTTCTTGATGCCAGAGTCTGCAAGGTTAATCCTCAGGGCTGAGTTTGAGGGAGATCACCATTATCAAGGACGGTCTCCTCTCTCCTCAGCCCTGAAACACCTACGGATACAGGATCTGGCTGTTGCTGAGGCCAAAGCTTCGCTTCCTAATCTCAGGGCCGTTTTTCTCAATTGCCGTCTTGTTCTTGGCGGCAGGAGAGGAATCCAGCCCTGGAATCGATAAATACGAATCTGTGGCCTCATTATAGACCAGAGTCTGCAATTTATTTTATATAATATTTTTTTTATTTATTATTTTTTTTCAATGATTTGTTTTTAAAGATTATTGGTACAGTATCTTTTAATATTTAAGTAAAATAGCAAAATACCCTTTGAAAAACTATTGTCAGACAATATTTTATAATCTCTATATTCATTCATAAAAAAAAATACGTCTAGTAATGCTCTGCATAAGTGGACAATAAAGTAATAAGATTGCTCTTTTATATAATAGAATGCAATTGCTCATTTATTAAGGATATATTTGTAATCAATTGTGATCTATTTAAGAAAAATAAGAAAACAGCACCAAATTCATATAGATGCATCTGTATATTCTATATTTTATAGCTGCACTATTACAATTGTTGAAACTAAATCCCAATATTCTCCGCTCATTAATTGATGAAAAAGTGATAAAAATTTGAGAGGTCATATTAAAAAAAGTCACTTTTTAATATAGACTCTATTTTTAGATGTATATTAAATTACACATCTATGAATGAATATAATACAAATGAAGTATACTCGAACTTGATGCTAGAATTATCAACACTGATTTGAATTCTTATTTCATGTATTAAAATTAAATTAAAATATCTTTATGGAATGACTGCTCTTCAATATGCAGTTAAGATTAAAAAAAAATGAAATTAAGAATAAAAAAAATATGCTTTTAAAGTATGTTTGCTGCTGATTTCTTATTGTGCTTGTGGAGCTTGTCCATTTTCTTTACGCCATTCGCAGAAAGCGTTGTACTTCATCGCATTGACGCGTTTCTTCTTGAAAGAGTTTTCCCACTTTTTGAACTGAACAAACTCATCAATAGAAATCTCAACCTCTTGATCCGATCCGCATTTGCAATGAGACTTCTTGTCTTTCTTGTCATCGTAATCTCTATCTTTCTTGTCTTTCTTGTCTTTCTTATCTTTCTTATCTTTCTTATCCTGTTTGCTTCTCTTATCTTGTTTCCTGCGGAGTTTCTCCTCTTTACGACGAAGCTTTTCTTCAAGCTTCTTCAGCTTGTTCTCCCTGTACTTAAGACGTTCTTCCTCTGGGAGATTGTTGATGAATTCTTCGCGTTGCTTGAGAACTTTGTTCTTCTCTTCGACTGCATGTTGGAGTCTTGCCTTTCTCTGATCTTTAGTCTCACCTTCAACAGGCAAGAAGAGTTTCCAGTCTACTTGTGGGTATCCTTGAGCATCTGGTAACTTGATTTGTTCAGGAGCTGTCTGAGACATGAATGAATGTGAAGTGGAGCAAAATCCACCGAACAATCGCTCGCATATAAAAAATCGTTGATAGAGCTCAGAAATAAATCGGTAAATTTGAGATTTTTTTTCTCCCACTTCATAAATCCATATCATTTTCGATACAATTCATATCGTCTTAGACAAAAATTTTAGATAAATGTTCATGATATGAAATATAAAACAGATATGAACAAATTTCGATTTGTGTAAAAATCGATAAAAATCGTTTATATTCTTCACATCAAACTTCTGTAAAATTATAGATTAAGAATTGAAATATAGGGTCAGGTGAGTGGGGCTTCCAGGCGCGTTGCGCCCTCTAGCCCCGGAGAAACTAGAGGAGGAATGATATTATAATATTAAATTTTTAGTCTTAAATTGTTTTTTTTATTCGGTATATTCTGAATCTTGAATGTCTTGGAAATTTTCTTCTTCTTCGCTCTCTGAGGTGAGGATTTCTTCGACTTCTTCTTCTTCGCTCTCTGAGGTGAGGATTTCTTCGACTTCTTCTTCGCCATTGGGAGCAACAAATCCTGCGATGAAAACTTTGTATATACCTTCTTGAGGAGTCTCTATGATGAAAGTCGTATTGTTGAGGAAATGGAACTCGACATCTTGAACAAATTGGCAACTGCTGTGTGTGAATTTTGCAATTGTGAGAGGCTTTCCTTTATAGCCCTTGGGAAAGCTTGAGATAGTTACTGTTCCTCCATATGGAACTCTGGCAGGAATATCTAAAGCAACAGTTGTTATAACGTGGAAATTGTCTACGAATTGAGGCATAGGTTCAATGCAGTATAGTCGTTTTGACTGGTTGTCTTTTGTGTAGAAATATAAATAGAATGACCTTTCACCATGTTCATTCAATTCTTCCAAATAATTGTATGAATTTGGATATAAACGGACAAATTCAGCAACTTTAACTTCTTGTAAATGCTTCTGCAAGTTCTTTGGAAACAAGTGAATGAACTGGTCAATAGCTTGCAACGCTATGAGATTGGCAGTAACGGGTAAATATGAAGCAAACATGTCAACAAGTACGCCAGGGTCTTTGATTTCGTTTTCAAGTGGCTGAATGGCATCCATGACAGCTTGAAACATCTCGTTATAATCTCGATTGTCTTCTGAACCCCACTGTTCATTTAACTTATCTAACAATTCTAACCTTTTCTTTGCGTATTTTCTACGAACTTTCTCTGAAAGAGGAGTGTCGCTATCTTGTGTGTCTTGAATTTGAGACTTAAATTGTTTGCAAAAGGCGAGATATCGTGTTTGCGACCTAGTGGTCATTGCAGAATGTGTTTCTGTATGTTCGATTGGATGTGTTTCTGTATTTTCGGGTGGTTGTGTTTCTGTATGTTCGATTGGAGTCTGATTGGTATGAACTTCTTCTGAAAATGCTTCTGTTCCGATAGTTGTTGTTGCCTGACCTGTTGGCTGAGCTGTTTCTTTGTGCAAATGCATATTGTCCAACAATTTGTTTGCAATTGTATGAGGAAGTTGCTTTGGTATTATAGGAGGTCGTAAGGGTTTTGAGAATGGTGAGACATAAGTTGTAGGAACTTTAACTGCAGAGGTAGTCGACGAATTGTTTGCGACACTTTTTCTTCCTTCCATTATGAAAAATAAACTGTTTTTTTTCGGACTACTCATAGAAAAGTTTAAAATAAACCGTTTTTACCAACGGTAACCCCCTCTATTTTTTTATTTTATTGAAAAGTCTCCGTTGGCAAACCGTTCCATCTCAAATATTGAATGAACTATAAACGTTTTTTGTTTTCTATATATACTTTTTTGTCCAACGGTAAAACTTTTTACACAACGGTTTTTGACAGATGTTTATATGACACTTTTTGTTCAGCTCAAAAAAACTACTCGGTCAAAGTGTTGTCAGTTTTGTAAAATAACCGTCCTATCTCATTCTATAATGGGGAAAAGGCTTCTCAAAGTATACTTCCTTGGAACGCCTGTAACTTTTCCTGTAGCGACGATAGACCCTTGCTTGTCCGGACAAAGTTATACTATTTTGAGTGCTCTACAAAAAAAGTCAACGGCGACGACTCTCAAAAACCGCTTTTTAACTTCACTTAAAATGCCACGTAAGCTACGTAAGAATATACGTAAGAGGAAGGGAGCATTGAAACATCCAATAGTAAAACTGACACCACAACAACAGTTGCAACAACAAATGCTGAATGACCCCACTATGTTGCAACAAATGTCAAGCAACCCTATGCTTTTAAACCGAGTTTTTGGTGCACAGAGTGGAGGTTTAAGAGCGGCACTTTTAGCGAAAATGGCAGGCTATGGTGGAGCTGCAGACGGAACAGCTTATAACCCTCAAAGTCAAATGAATTTGAGTTCACTCAAAAATCAAATATCAGATGTCAAAAAGTCAAACATAGACATACAGAAGCAAATAAGTGAAAACGAAAAGAAACTAGAATATGACAGACACACAAAGAAACTAAATGAGTTAAACGTAGAGAAAAAGAAGAAAGAAGAACAACTGAAAGAACTAAGTACAGAGGAATATGCGAAAAAAGTGTCAGAAAAAGCAGCAGAAGTAGCAAAAATGGAACAAGATGTTGTAAATTTGAAAAACCATACTACTCAATATAAAGTACTGAAAGATGAAGAGATAAAACAAAAAGCCCTGAAGACATATATGGATAGCGATGAGTATAAAAAAGAAGTTGAAGCAAATGTAAAGGCAGAAAAACTTTTACAGTTGCAAAACCAAACCGTACAGTATGAAAACTTAGCACAAGAAAGTAAAAATAACGACGCAGCCATGCAAAAGGCAATGAAAAGCGCAGAATATATAAAAGCTAACAATGACTGGTTAGATGCCCAAGCCAACGCTAAAGCAGCCCAGCTTATAGGGTCAATAAGGACAAAAATACAAGCGGATGAAGACAGTTCAAATGAAGCTTTAACAAATGCTGACTTTAAGAACGCCTTCGAAGCTCTTCATAGTAAGGTGAAACTAGTGAACGACTTCTCATCTGGAAAGAAACTGAAGTCTGAAGGTTTCGACAAAGAGTTAAAAGAAGTAGCACAAAATATGACGAAAATAACAGATGCAGCAACGAGACAGGCAGTTCAAAGTGCCTATGACGCCGTTAGAGCAACTGTTGTGGAAAGTCAAGAAAAAGAGTTACAACAGACCAAAACAGACCTAGTAAATGCTTTCTTAAAACGAAAAGTCAGGTAGGACATTATGCTGCAGATGGAACATATGTGCCAGCTGGTGGAACTTATATACCAGCTGGTGGAACTTATATACTAGCTAGTGGAACTTATATACCACCAAACCCTCCAAGAGAAGCACCTGCACCAGGACTACCTAGAACATTTACATCGTCACATGGACACAGACACAGGCATGCACCAAAACCAACACAACAACAACCACAAACAGCACCACAACAACAACCAAAACCAGCACAACAACCAAAACCAGCACAACAACCAAAACCAGCACAACAACAACCACAAACAGCACAACAACAACCACAAACAGCACAGCAACCAACAGTTCAAAACACTGCACCACAACCAACAGTTCAAAACACTGCACCACAACCAACAGTTCAAAACACTGCACCACAACCAACAGTTCAAAACACTGCACAGCAACAACCACAAACAGAGCAAGGACATAAAAGAAGTAGAGAACAAGGAAACCAAGAATTCTTAAAAATGCTTAAAGAAGACTATGGTTACCCAGATACTCTTGACTTTAGTGACAGATATAAAGAAGCTATTAGAAAGTTCAAGGAAGGAAATACTGACCCGAACCTATTTAGCTTTATGGTTCAGCAAAATGGGATATAATCAAACCTGGAAAATACAAGCTCGCTAAGGGATATGATTTAATAGCATATCATCCAAATGACATGATGAATTTACTCCGAGATATTTGGTGTCAGAGCTAAATGATAATTCAACTCTCTTCATGAAACGCGTAAAAAATAGAGACGGAACGAAAGAAGAAAGGTTATGAATGCGGATGACTTAATAGGGAACTTGTTAAAAACGGTCTCGGAATATATGAAATGCCAGCAGATGAGGTACAAGAAACTCCACAGGAAGAAGTTCAGATACAACCAGACATGGAAGAAATAGTTCAGCAACAACAGCTAGAAGAGCCTGAAGGAAACGAACAAGTCCCTCCTTTGGAAACTAACTTCACAGAACTAGATGAAGATTTGGAACAGCCGAAAAATCTTGACCCTCAACAAGAGTATGAGGAGAATATGGAATCTTTCCAAGAGTCTAAGAAAAATTCGGCTGACATAGTAGAAGAATATCGAAAAATGTTTGCCGACATACAAAAGACTCCAACATCAGATGAAAATATTCAGCATAGAATGGAAGTACTGAAAGAAAATGTACGCAAATACAACAATCCTTTTTACTTACGAGCATATAACGTTCAATCTTTGGCTGAACTCGGTGAAAATAAAAGGTTAAATTTCAACAAAACATATAGAAATGAAACATTGTTTAAAGTTCATTCAGAACCTAACCAATATGGAAACAAACCTACTTTTGTTTCTGCAGACTATGGAACTACAATGAGATGGGGTCATAAAGCTAATCCGGATAGGTGGTTCATAAACTTACAACCACAATTCCAAGAAGTTGTAGACGCAATGGAAGTGAATGGTGAACCAGATATAGCTGGTATTTTCAGCGCGGCTTTAATGCCATTGAAAGATATGAAAGATGCAGATATTTTGGACCAGTATGAAATGAACATGGCTGATGGAAATATAACACCTGACGTTCTAGAACATTTATCTCAAAGAACTACACAGAACCATAGAGATGGTATATTTGGTGAAGAGTTTAGAAAGAAAGTTAGGGAGAGAGAAGGAAGAGAACCTATTGTACATGACCTTGCAAACGAAAGTTTACAAAATGTCATAAAAACTTACTTTGCAGACAATGAACGAGAAGGGATGAATATTTAAGAAAACTCAAATGGACAGTACCAAATGAAATGTTAGTATTGAAAAACATGTTCCTTGACAAAATAAAACCAACTACAGAAATAAATGACGCAAGACTGAAACATTGGGTAAAAGCTTTCCCATTCACAAAAGATATTATTGGTAACATGGAAAGAAAACCAGAATGGCTACAAAAACATATATTTGGAAACGAGCTTATTCCATATGGACAAGCTCTGTTTGAAGAGCTTGAACCGGAAACTCAGGAAAGAGTCATGCAAACAATACGCGAAGACTCAAATACAAACTATGACAAAATCTTTCTAGGATATGGTTACCTGAGATGGGCGACCAGAGCCCAAAGGCAAAAAGGACATGGGAAATTTACAACATACTAGGTGAACATGAGGCAAAGATGCAACAACTTGAAGCAGAGGGCAAGTTAAAAGCGACACCAAAGAAAGAAGAGTAGAACAAAGTGAAAGTAGTGAAGAAGTAACTTCATCTAGTGAAAGTAGTGGCAATGAAGGAAAAAGAAGAGTTAAAAACTCAGTCAGGAAGAAAGTAAAGCTTGGTCCGAGTGGGTTCTATTATGACATATAAATCCAACTATTCTATATTTTTACCCATATGAAATGTACGCCGCTCAGAATATAACGCCAACAGTTTTGGATGCCATGAACGGAAATGTTTCCGAATGGTATAACGAATGCGACAATGCCATTAGAAGGTCAGAAATAGTTCCTGGAACTTACGAATATACAACTGCTGTTTCTTATGGAAACGTAGGTGAGTTTGGAGAAGGTTCTTCAACAACAGTAGATATTGCTTGCGACAGGTTTCATATATTTCTATTGACAACTCATTCTTATACGTGGAACAAGACATTGAAATAAAACCTTCTGCCAAGTTGTCTGACAAGAAAGGTTGCAATGGAATTTTCTATGTCGGATACCAATATGCTCCAGAAGTTTTCATGGGATATAAGATATATTCTAACTCTGACTTAGTTCAAACAGTAACATGGGCAAACTATGAATGGTTCGCTTTGAGAAACTCAGTACAACCACAAGCTAGAGAACAAACAGACCAGTATGCAACTATTGAGAAAATAAGAAGACTTGACCCTAACGTTCCAGGAGTTTATGTTAACCTTTCTGGACAAACTGCAGCAGCAGTAACCAAAGTAAAACTGAAACTTAGAGTTCCTTTGTCATCTTTCCTCATCTTCAGGTTTTTAAGATACTTGCCAAACTGGGCAGGAAAAATTTCTATCGAACTTACTCCAAGCAAAAATAACTTAGTCATTGCACCAACACAAGACCCATTCACTCTACAGCTGGAACGTGGAGCCAAGTTCTGTGACTTTTGCAAAGACAAAGTTGACTTAGACTTTGGTTTCTCAAACCTCAACACTGAAGTAAACTATTATTTCAATGCTGCTGGAACTGCTTGGGACCCAGTTAAGTTCACATGCGAAAAATTTGAATGCAAGAGAATAGAAAGCAGACTTGCAGTCTATATGTTGGACCCAGATATTTCAAATGCTTTAGCTGCCAAATATATTGCAGTTCCACTTATGTTCCCTATACACCAAATATCTGTCAAAGACTTTGCAGGTGAAGTTGGAAACCAAAGTGCTGACCCAGGTGCAAGAACAGATATTGCTTTAACAACTGCAATGAAACATGCAGATACTATGTTTGTACTGTTCAGACGAACTATAAATGACTATTCTTGTTTCTACAACCCTGGTATTAAATATCATATAAACATAGATGGCAAATATTATCCAAGAGAAGAATATTCTACAGTTGAGGATATGAGGTCATACAACTTGACATTAGATGCTATGAACTTTAACAACAACTTCACAACAACCATTAACCCTGAAATGCAAAGTTCTATTATGCCATATGTGAAAGTATGGACTCATACAGGAGGTCAAAAAACTCAATATACAAATGGAGACCGTTCAAACTTTTGGCTTGGCATTCCATTTGCTGACTCAGAAGACTTTATGGGTGGTATTTCAACTGTTGGTACTTACAAATACAATATACTGGTGACAGAGACGGTCCAGATGAATTGAAGCAAAGAAGTTTACAAAACCAATAGCACTTTTCACGGAAGATGCTCTTTTGAAGATTCGTTCGATGAAACCTGCTGGGGCTCCTCAGATTGGCATAACGACAGCTTCCATCGAGCAGATTTTGGCAGCAGGTCAGTAAGTTGTTCTTGAACTGACTTCTCTCCGTCAAATATTGACAGTACGCCAGTTTTGACATAAATTGTATTATAAACTTACCTTTAGAAATATCTGTAAGTTTTGAAGTTATATTTTTGTCTGCTTCAAGAACTTTCACCATTTCAGTTATACCAACTTTCTTTGCTTTATGAAAATATTTTGGTTCAGCAAAGACTGCTATTCTATAACATTTTCCATTGTTTGTATAAAGAACTATTCTGTCAATGTATTTGTATTGTTTGTGTGTGTAAACTTTGTTCTGCTTCAATTCGAAGAGATACTCGAATACGTCCATCTTTTTATTCTAAGTAAAATGTCATTTCCGAAAAATAGAAGCGTAAGTGTTTCAAAAGGTTTAATGGCGGTGGCAGATGTGAAGTTAAATTCACCAACTCAAACAAACAGTCAAAGTGTTGTTGTCAATGTCAAAGAAGAGATGTTGAAGTGGGGAAACCATACGAAGACGAAGATGGTATAACAATTGTTCCTGTAAAAGAACAACCAACATATCCTGAAGTTAGCAGAGACTTAAGTTCTGTTGCAGATATTCGAAACGACTACCAACAACTGAAAGACAAACTTCAAACTCAGGAGAAGATTTGTCAAGCTTTAAGTATAATGTTAAACTTGGTCGAACACAACCCTGTAAAAGTGAACTCATATGTCATTGCACCTCATGAAGTTTTGAAAGAACTATTGAAACTTTTGACAGAGGCAGACGATATAAACATCAAAGAAATAGAACCCGACATTAGTTGCTGTGGTGTTTCATATAATGTCATTGACAAGATATACGTTATGAAAGGAGGTGAAACGTTGAACTTAAAATATAGTTTCCCAGACGTTATAAAAATATTTGACGACCACAACATTTCATTAAAATTTATTTGCTAAGTAAATGGCAGAAGACATATGGTTTATACTATTACGACTAAAAACCCTGAGTCATATAATTCTATAACAACAAACTTACAAAGTCCTCAAGGACGATATTGTAAACTAACCTTAAACACAATGACGACTAAAGCCTGTTTTGCTCTTTTGACACCAGAAGACTTTATTGTTGTGAATGGTAAAAAATACTCCTTTGAAGATACTTACTCAGATATACCACCAACAGGTTTTGTTGACTTATTTAATACTTTAAGTACGGGTGTAACATGTGCTGCAACTAGAGCAGGTTTCATTATGTTTGGATGTCCGACTGAGTTTACTATAAACGATATGAGCTATAATACAAAACTTATTCTGGTTTTTACTACCAACAGTTTCCTATAACAGGAAAAGGTGTCATACAAGGAATGTCTATTCCATTGACATTAAGCACACCAATTATATATTGTTTCAAACTTAGGTTCAAAGTGTTATTCGAATGTCGACAGAAACTATTATGACCAAAAGATACTTATGCGTATAAACAACACTTTCTCTGCTGGTTTGCCTATTGTTCATTCGAATGCAGAATTTTCAACCTTAGTGAACTCAAACACTTTGGCAAGTATAACGTTGACATTAGTTGACGCAAACTTTGTTCCTGTAAAACTTTTATGTCCTATGTATTTGTCAATGACGGCAGAAAGTTTCGAATTGGAAGATGCAACTGGTGAAAGTATTGTATTACAAGAACAACTTCAACAACAAATAGCTCAAGAACAAAGTCAAGAATAAAAAAAAATATTTTTTTTATTTTTATAAAAATGTACAGAATAGATGTTTCAGATTTTTATGACTTCCAAGCATTCAGAAATATGTGTCCATTTCGAGACTATAACAAAGCAGTCGAGAATTTGAAACGTTTAGTCATTTATGTCGACTCTGCCCCAGAATGTTATGTTATGAAAGAATGGGATGTAGTCTTTAACAAACCAAGAGCAACAATAGTTTCAGAACAAGAATGTAGACAGAAACTTAAGAAAATAAAAGTCGTACAAGTTGGCATGAAGATGTTAGATGCTTGGGATATCTTATTGTCAAAGTTAGAAGATTTTTCAGTTCGAGGTATAAAGTTTATACACCTTCTCCAAACTTCTATTCTATCTTCACTGGATATAAATATGAACAAGTAGAATGGAAAGAAAATATTATAGAAGCTTGGTTAGACCATGTCAAAGAAATTATATGCAATGGAAACGAAAAGTTTATGAGTATATCTTATGTTGGTTTGCAAACATCTTACAACATCCAAGTGCTAAAAATGAAACTGCTCTCATTATAATTGGAAAACAAGGAACAGGTAAGAACACATTCTTTACAGATATTTTGTGCAAACTGTTAGAAGGTTATTCGAACCCGAATATGACAAACTTAGAAAACATCTGCGGTAAATTTAACTCTTCAATAGAGAATATGAAACTTATAGTTGTAACGAACTTCAAAGTATAGATACAACAAAAGTTTTGAACTCAGATGCTTTGAAGAGTCTTATAACAGACAAAGTTGGAGTTGTTGAAAGAAATATAAAGACCAAAGAGTTTGTGAAAATGTTGCAAACTTCATTATGGTTTCAAACAATGCTGTTCCGATGAAGTTAGAAAGTTCTGACAGAAGATATGTAGTTGTCAGAACGTCAGATTCTCATATGCAAGATACAGAATATTTTGACGACTTAGCAGAAACTTTGACATCTGACTTTTACAACCACTTGTTCTCATATTTATGACATTAGATATTTCTAAGTTCAATCCAAGACAAATTCCACATACCGAAGAGAGACAAACATTGTTAGAAGCAAACAAGAGTGTATATGAACTGTTCATAGATGAAACTGACTTTGAGTGTTTAGATGAAAGGTCATTGTACGATTCGTATAAACAATATTGTCAAGTATGGTTATATGACAGCGTCTAAACGAACATTCTTGGCAAATGTCAAAAGTCTTTTAGACGTACAGAATGGTGTATATACAAAGAAAAATTTTTCTGAGTAAATTTTAAAAAAAAATATTTTTTTATCCGATAGAAAAGATGAAAATTCATCTCAGTAAACAAGTACATGTCAGGACTTAAAGAAGAACTAGACCCATTCACATATTTGAATGTTTACTTCTACCATTTTGAAAAGTCTTCATTCAGCAAAGTTTGGAACATCGAACCAGTTAAGTTTGCTATTGTGACTAAAAATGGTGCGAAATTTGAAGACTTAGACATAGAAGGTTTGTTAACAGTCAAAGAAAGTTTTGACAGAAGGTTCTCAAACCTTAAAGAAGGCAAAGCATACAAACTTGTTATACCTTATGAACCAAAGAAAGCAGACGACTATGAATATTATGAGTCTAAGATAGTTGAAGTTCAAGGTAAATTGGGTAAAAAGATTTTAGAGTCTAAGCCAGTGTTTGCTCCTAAAGAGGAAGAGAACATTGACATTGACCCAGAAATGTTCTAAAAATAAAATTTTATTTTTACATGTCAAATTTCTTTTTCTCTGGAACTGGTTCAGGTTCTTTCTTCTCTTCTTCTACTTTCTTTTCTTTCTTTTCTCTCTTCTTCTTTTCTGGTGGAGTTATGTCAAATTTCAGAACCATATTTATGTAAAAGTTCTTTGTCCTTTAATAGCTTTCTATTCTGTTTTCTATTTCATCTTCAAGAACAGCGCATGTGTCTTCTTTGCATTCTAAGAATTTTGTTGGACTTCATCTCTCCAAGAGGCGTCATCTCTGTCAACAAGTCTGTCATTGACAAATTTTAAGACTGCTCTGCTTAATGTTTTATGGTTCTTGTCATATTCCCAGAAACAGAACTTTAGAACAAATTCACCTTTCTTGTTTACACTATGTAAGATTTTATGGTCGACAGATGTTTTGCTGTCGAAAAGCTTGTCTCGAATATAGATAGCGAAATCGCTAGACATTTTCTAAAAGATAAAAATTTTAATTTTTCTAAAAATATGTTAGAAAAAAAGTTTGCTGACATTGACAAGAAATTTGAGAATGTTTTAAACAAGAACAAGAGGAAGTTAGAAAATGCTCAGATAAAGCCTATACATGACAAGTTCTTATTTGCTCAGAATGGTATAACAGGTCTAATTGCACCACCTGGGTCGGGTAAGACTTTCACTTATCTTAAAATGGCTGCACAACAACAAGAACTAGATGAGAAGAACCCATTCTATGAGTTAGTTGTTATTTGTAGTACTTCTGGTCAATTTGACCAAACCGTCAATTCGTTCAAAGATATTATAAAGAAGTCTAAGTTAGTATGTATAAAGATACTGAGTTGTTAGATTGGATAAAGAAGTACCAAAGAAGAGTTTTGAAGTACAATGCTATAAATGAGTATATAAATTCTAAGTTTAAAGACCCAAATGAGGAAATGCAGAGAATATTAGAGAAGAAACACTTCAGAAACAAACAGAAAGAGATAGAATACATTTCGAAGAAATTGCAATCTTACGATTGGAAGACTTACCCTCATAGATGTCTTCTTATCTTAGATGATTTCGCCTCTCATCCTTTGTTAAAGAACAGAGAACAAGATATGTGTCGAATTCTTAAGAAGCTCAGACACTTTAACATCTCAGTTGTCATTTGTGTACAGACAGCAAAGAGTTTAAGTAAGGATGTTAAAAGAATACTTACTGACATTATACTTTTCCCGGATTGTCCGAAGACGATTTCATGGAACTTATGAAAGAGTCCATGGCAGGTAAGTTTGACAGACATGAACTATGGGAGAAGTACAAAGTCATACAAGACCCTCATACTTCTTTCAGAATTCATATCTACGCAAA